TTTCTATTTCTATCTTAATTTCTTGAAGTTCGTCACTGAAATTGCTATGAACCGATTCAGTATCACATTTTTCAACGAATTCATCATCTGATCGAAAAACAACTTTAGTTTCCGAATTCAGTTTCGTAATGTTTTCAATTTCTATACATATTTTACCATCTCCTTTGTTGTTTGTTTTTAAATTCATTTTTCTATCGCCTTGTTGCAAAGTACGAATATGGTCTTGCGGAATGTTCCTAGCCAATATCTGTTCATATTCCGGCCAAGTGTGTGCTTCGTCTGAATACTTGTCTCTATCTAACCAGTCCCGGTATTGAGAAAACATTTTCTTAATTCCTAAGGTTTCAATGCGCTTTGTGTACAAGCCTGCTGCCCTTTGGTTGAGTAAAGTCAACTTAGACTCTCGCAAAATCCGGAAATGTTCACATACACTGGCGATTTTGTCATGATCACGTTTGGCTTTTACATTTTTACCTCTCAAATCACCTGTATTCTCATATTTACGCCAAATACTCGAGATCCTTAAATTAAAAGACAAGGTATTACAAAACATTTTCCTACAAACGCGAACCTTTTCACCGTCCACATCTTCCGAAACTGGCAAGTAATATCTGTAAATGAAATCTCTATTAATTAGTCCCTTTCCTGTATTGCACGAAAGTTTTTTATTACACTTTGCTGTAAATTTAACAATAAAAGCAAATTGTTTGTTTGAATCACCAAAACCCCAAAAGGTTTTAAATATATATTGTCTTTGTGCCTGTGTCAAAGACAATTGTTTGCAGTATTTATCAGTAGTACCGCACAGACAAGGTGGGCCCAAGCTTTTTGGTGGAACCAATATTCCTGATTTCGTTACGTAGGCTTTGCCGCAACATTTCAAATAGTTTCTTATCTTCTCAACCTTACTAACGTATCCTGATTTGACTTTTACATTACTAGCAATTTTTTTAGCAATTGCCTCTATTGTAGGTTGTTCATCCTCCACTTCAAGAATTAATCCAATATCTGTATCTTCAGATTTTAACTCAACATCTACATTGTTTTTCTTGTTAGTAGATGATTCTTCTGTTAATGTTTTGCTAGCAATTTTCTTCAAAACAGTATTCCTTTTAGGTCTCTTGTTGAAATCATTAAACGATCCTGACATCGAACTACATGTGTTCTGCGATAAATCATTCTCATCTTCCAAATTCATAGACATTTCGTTTAAATACTTATTTTGGGTTTTTCGTGTCTTCTTGTGTGCCCCGTTATCGTCCCTAGATTCTTTTATGATATCATGGACGCTGTCGGACTTGGATACAACGATTCTATTAGATTTGAAATCTTTGTGTTCCGTTTTCACTCTCTTAACGAATTGGTCATTATCTGAAGAATCCAAGACGTCAAACATTTGTGAATTTTCTTTTGTTATTTTTCTTTTTTTGCAGTGACTAATTTTATTTGAATGTTTATTTGTCTTGTTTATTTTCAATGGATCATTTTCATCGTCCAATATAGTTACGACCTGCTCCCCGGAATCTGCAAATTTAAATATAATTAAGGTTCAATACACAGATGTAATTATACTATTCATAAAGGCAAAGTGTGTAAATTGCTATTTTAAGAAAGGCAATACATTATCATTCCACAGAAAAAAAATCCCTTTAAACTAAACATACATCTGCACTTTGCCTTTGAATATTAAAAATTATAATGTGTATTGTGCACCTAATTACATTTAAATTTGTTTTTCATTTCTAATTAGCAAAACAAAATGTAAAGAAAAGACCATTAATTTATATTTAATATTGATTATGACAACATATAGATGTTCATTATCAGGTGTACATAAATCCGTCATGTTATTGTATAATGCCTTAAGACCAACAAAATATTTGTTATTGTCACACTAGTGTGAGTAATCCTCGCCTGCGTAGTCATTCAACATTTAATTTTTAATGTTCAGGTAGTTAGTATAATTGATTTATTAAATGTAAGTATGAACAATAAAACATTGTACGTTTTTTAACATTGGTGTAAATGGTTCGTTATGTAATATTTCGCGAAATCGGATGTTTTATTATTTTTCTATTTCTATTTATTTAAGCATGTTTAGAAAAAAATGACCCTTATTAGCTAAATAATAAAAAAGCAACTCCATAAAAGTGCTCAGCTGCTGAAACAAATGCGCGCCTACGACACAGGCAGGCAGGCAGGCGGGGATTAAGAAGAAACTAACATTACTTCACATATCAAAACCTATCAAGCCTTTTTTTTAGGCTACTCTATGAGCCAAAAAGCAGACTTAAATACACACACCCAAAAAATATTACCCCTCTTCTGGGGCAGTCAGGTCAAATTGATTAAAATTTTTATTTAATATTTTAAAAGAGGATCCAAATCTTTTATGTAGGTCAATGTCGTTTAATCCTCTCGACCATAAGTAAATGTGGGTGCAAAAATAAGCTTCATTCAATTATTTAATTTATGCGGATTATAATTTAGTTACTATAATGAAATGGTGACATCCATATTCGAACTAACTTAAATTTTTCATGTATATCGATAGATCTATGATGAGTCTTATTTGTGTGCACAAACTCGTACAGTAGGATTGTGCTCAGTAGAAGATGCCTTTTAGTCGTAAATTAACCATTTTCAAACAGAGGGCCTAAAATGAAAAGGTCACAATATTGGATTTGACCTGATATGACATCCTTTCACATGTAAAAAAAAATAGGGCTTGTTATACATACTATAGTAGAAAATTCAAGCTTTTTCTCATAAAGATATATTCAAAATGTCTCCAGAACTAAGCAAATTACACCAAAGACTCTTACTCATTCATCAGAAAAATTGGTAACACACTCTTTGAGTTTGTTGTTAAATCACCATCATCATTTCAACAGAAAGGCGTCCAATACTAGCTATCATAGATCTCGCTCACAGATCGCTACGACAACTAGTCCTACCGGATCTGCCCATAATGCGTTTTCGTGTACGCGGTCGCCACTCGATAACATTTCGCCTCATCGGCCATCTGTTGTACGAACACTTGAATGGCTCACTTCAACTAAAATTTAGCAATTCCCTGGGTAATATAATTCTTTTGCATATCTCTTCATTCTGACTTGATTTCAACATTTCAAATGCAACTACCCTAGCAGTCACAAGAATATTTTAAGCATAAATATTTTCTGCATCTACAAGGAGAGCACCAAGGCCACGGAAGAAAAAAAAACAATGGAAGTGCCTTAAGCCTCGTTTACTATCAGAACTGCTGTCGCCAAAACTCATACATTCATAATTTGAAACATTATGAAATCTTGATAATGATTAGTCGTTGTTTCTAATTTAAACAAAGAACAATTTCTGGAGTTAGACTTTACCCTGTTGGCATATCAACGTTATTATTTAAAACTGCAACACTGTTATAAAAAAAATAGATTGTGGTTGTAACTGCTTTTAAGATACCAATTTTCTTGGTTACACACCGTCTACTTTACTACTTTACTATGTTGTTGAGACCTAAGATTTGCTTTTATTAATAGACATTTTCATTGGATCCTATCTATTGTAGACAGTTCACCCTCTGATTCATGAATAAAATAAAAATAAGTTTAAAATTCAGCTAAAGACTGCAGCCAAAAATCATTTGTAATTTTATACTGTTTTGTTTTAGCTATTAACAATATAATTAATGAACATTAAAAGGATTTTTTTACACCACAAATCAATTTTACTAGCTGCAAGTCTGTTTATCAGTAACCCAAGTTCCTAGTACACAATTCTAGATTTTTGTGCATTATTTTACTAAATTCACATTGTGCATTCATATAGGACTCATTATTATTGTGTTTGTTTTTGAAAATTCTTAATGCTTACATCATATCAAGCTAAAGAATTTAGGACACTACATGACTGGACTTTAAATGATTTTTTATTATTTTTATTTATTTACCAAGGTGAGTTTTACATCAAATATATATATAGAATAATATAAATTCAATATGCAAATAACAATTGAATTCATACAGGCAAAGTTATGTAAAAAAATATATTTATGCAATTGATTGTTTAATAGGCTACATACACACAGTTATACAATAATATTTAACACTGCACTATCTTAATAATTTTTTACACCTTATATGTTATTATTAATATAACATTGCTTTTAACCTTAAGGGCTTGAAGTGAGACTCTTACCTTTTTATCTACATAATAGATATAAATATGTTTAACATTATTTCAGGCAAAATTCTTATGTTAATGTAGATAATTAAAGTTATTTTACACTTTAGCAGTTTTTATACGACATCGCCTTCAGTTTAAGTTAAGTTTACAAATTATTAAAACAGTAATCAATAAATGTTGTTTATCCTTTGGAAATGAAAAAAATGTTTACAATTTAAATTGCATAAATTTGTTTTTTCGAACGAACAAATGTTACAGGTTCTTGAGGGAGTCACTACACATAATAATACTTTTTTCTTTTTTTTATTTTGCTGCGCCCGTCACCCTGAGACATAAGTTGACAAGTCCCTTGTGCCTGTACCTTCACCAGTACCCTTACCATTCAAAACCGGAACACAGCAATGATGACATTACTGCTTGGCGGCAGAAACAGTTAAGGTGGCAGTACTACCCTGGACAAACTCTTTCACAAGGAGCTCTACTGCTACTATAAACCGTTTTAGTGCCTACAAATTCACTTGAAATTATTTGAGCAGTGTTGTTTACTAAGCGACAATATGTCATTTTTCAATTTTCGTCAATTATAGCAAAACTCAAGTTAAACTACTTGATTTGAAGTGAAACAATTAACGAAACTCATCAATTGTTTCAAATTCTGGCTGGCCAGTTGGAGCGCAGTTGTAACAGTAATGATTTGGCAGAATAGTTTTCAAACAAATTAAATGTCTTTTGTTTCTGTTTATAACTCAATGATTTAACCCATTATTCTTAACAAGTTATAGTATAGATATGAGCATAATTAAGAAACAAATACTCACCATTCACTGTAATCTTTATAGATGTAGGTTGTGTTATTTCCTCTGGTTCAATTTTGATGTCTAAATCTGGATTATAATCATCAGCTCCATTTGCATCAAAATTATCATCATCAGATAATACTTCTTGTTTTATCTCCACATCTTGGACATTTCCGAAAACTGCATCATTTACATTTTTATCAAGTTGTATTGGTTTAGGCCAACGTTCACCTGTAGATATATCTTTGAACAGCTCCTTGAGTTCACGATCGCTGTCTTGGACCATGTGAACAAATGCACAAGCACTGTGCAACTTAGAACAGCACGAGTGACACATTTTTTTTGAGTATGGATCCGTTTCTGAAATCTAAAATAAAAAAATATTTAATACAGCATTATGCATAAGCATGTTAGTACAGAAGGGAGCACAAAAAGACAGTAACTGCATTACATTCTAGCTCAGTGCAATAAGGAGATATATACATACACTTTTACCATATGTCAATAAGTATAAATATGTGTATAATGATATTAAACTCAGATTTGCATATCGTCATCTTAGAGTGAATATATCATATATGATTTGTATGTAATTTTAAAGGACTAGCATAAAAATGTGGAGTAAACTGTCACAAATGTACAGTGAAAATATTTTAAAATTTTGTGTGATTGTACAGCACAACTAGCAGCCACAATTAGTATTTTGTACAAGAAACAAACAACGCATGGGTCATAGTGGATCTGTACAGTACGTACTTCACGTTACACTCCATTATCTCAACAATTGGGTGTTGGTAGAAACTATTGCACAAACCTCTGAACTTACCACAACACCAGTGAGCTTAGCTAAATCAATAGCTATAGTGGAATTCCCGTTGTTCCATGGTTCGAATACATTAGGTGCCATTGGGGAGGCTTTTAGAAGGCAAGCACGGCACCTTGGATCCGGGTCCATGTCTCCTGTCGTCACTGCTCCCGCCATTTTGAATTTACCTTCCTTTTCTCCCGTACTGAATCACGTTCTAAGCCCTATAGACATTTCTCACCCTTCAGAAATCATCATTTATTATCAATACAACAAACATTTTAATGCATTGACGTTGGTTAGTTTGACAGCCGCCCGCCATGCAAAAGTAATAGACAAACCAGAAAAATAATGGTAAAAGATCCATTTTACAAACACCCTTCAAACACTAAATGAATGATTGTGTTCAAAATTATCACTAAATAATAATTTTATTATGCAGATAATTTAAGCACAAACAAGCTTTATTTTTCAAGAATCTACAACAATCTCTCAATAAAGGACAAACGATTAAAAAAGAACGTGACGTCTTATTCCCAAATTTTGCCTACACAAAAATAAACTAATAAAATGCGTTATTTAAAGAAAACTTACCACATTATTCGAAGTAATCCAAAATGTGTGACAATTCTTTGCACAAAATCATCGAAAGCAATTTTCTTACTCTTCTCACAATGATAGAAAAGGTCGCTACATTTATTATAAAAACTTTACATTACTCGTTGATTGTCTATGGTTACTTTTTTCACATCTCTGTCTTGTCGATCTTTCAATCAAGAACTTCAATCCATAAATTAAATTAACTGACGAATAAATTTTATATGTATACATATGTTTACCCCCTAGAGGATGGAAAGGTTTACCCCTCAATAGCTAGCTGCTTCCACTTTTGCTAAAATTATTTTTCAACTTTAAAAAAAATTACTCGATTGTTCAAACCACAGACATATCTGGATAGACGCCGCAAGTGTACGTACTTCGCGTGCCCAAAGTAGTGCCGCTGCTACACTTCAGAACGCAGTCGACCGTTATTGTAGATAAACACCAGCCGAAAACGCGAAAAATGGATAATTGTGCCATTATAAACTGCAAAAGTACCATAACTGTAGGTAAACGGGTAAACAGAGACGTTTCCTTCCACGGGCAAGTGATTTTGTAACCAAGAGATGCATAATTTGTTTTAAAAACAATTAATTTGGTTTTGTATGAATTTCGAGGAAAAAATATGCAACCCAGTGTATGCCTCATGATTTGTAATAAATAGATTGCGGCTTTTACTGGGTGTGATTTTTGTGGCACGTTGCCTCGAATGTCCGAAAATAGTGAGACAATAATTATATATTAATTATTACTATTATTTAATTATTACGAATAATACAAAAATATATATAATGCAAAGAATTAACAGTGCGCTGTGTTTTCAAAAACCTGGAGTTGGTCATACGTATGAGATCGTTGCTTTCGAGGACAAAGGTGGTCTAGTTTACCTAAGATGCTATCCAAATATGCACAGTAGCAGAGTTAGAAATCCGAGAAATAATAAACAAATAACAAAAATTTCACACGAGGCGATCATTAAGTAAACCTCTTCTAATTAATACGATTTTACCATATTTTGTCAGCAGTAACATTTTCATTTGTCTTGCCATTCATCAATTTGATCAATTACCAACAGAAAACCTTCTAGTAAAATTAATTAAGACAGTCGCAAGTTCATATATTGAGGTGCGTTTTCATTATTTAAGTTAATCGAAAAGATCTTGTATTACAAAAAGATGTTATATAATAAGCTCATTTTACTGGAAGGACAATAATTTTAATATTTAAAGTCGATTAAAAATTAGAGTTAAAATTGTTATAGGAAATGAAACTATTTTTCCGGATTTAAATCGCGTATAATTGTTTTTTCAAACAAACCGACGTTTCGGGCCCTTTACAGGTCTCATGGTCACGGTTGACTGACCGACCGTGACCATGGGAAAAAATAAATATACGCGATTTCAATCCGGAAAAATAGTTTCATTTTCTATGTGTAACAATCGCGAAAACCTAAGAACTTAAAATTTTGAAGTAATCAAAATTTTTTTAAAACAACTTTTAATAAAGGACATACCTATATTGTTTTGGTATTTTTCTACTATATTAATATTTCACTACTTGTAATCAACGAATATTTGAATCGATTAATTGAATGGAATAGGTACGTGTATTCCGTTCAATCAATCGATTTAGCGAGGAAGATTTTCCATCACTAAAGAGTTCTTGTGACGTCATGATGGATACATAAAATGTGGCCCGCTCGGTTCATACAAATTGCTGTACTTGCGGCGTCTATCTAGATATGTCTGTGGTTCAAACGTCATATTATTATTGTCAATAACACATTTTGGCGGGAAGTTTAAATAAAGGCGTCGGATGGCCGTCGTTCCTTTATTTTTTTTCTATCCTCTAAAATGTCGTTGATTAGGTTTTCTTTTCTCAAGTTATAAATTCAAATTTTGTGGAAACTGGAGAAAAATGAAAGCTAGTGCTTGCTATAAATCTTTTTATCCATCCTCTAAGCTATAAACAAAGCCGAGCATTTAATACTTCCACACTACAACTTGTCACTCATCAACTTTAATATTAAAAATTTAGGTGTAAACCATTGACTTACATAGTGTAAACCTTTATTTTTTCCATCCTCTAAGCTTGGAATAATAACGCATCTAAGGTGTAAACTTAATTTATACTTTCGTTAATTCTAACCTTAGCATAGTGTCATTAAATGCGTAATCCTTTCTATGTCAAATAATTATGTTACTTAATTTTGTGAGGCTAAAAAAAGTTATTCTCATTTACTGCAAACGTAAATAATGTGTTGAGACGAGGGGAATATGAACTGTGCTCTCCCTAAATTTGAAATTTGGGGATTTTAATCTTGATTTTTGAGGATTTTGTGCAAATGGCATTGGCTGGTGTTGGGTCATGGAAAAATTTCCACTTTTAAAAGTCATATATTTTAGAAAAATAAATATTTATCCAATGTTTTTCCTTTATTTTTCCACATTTCACGTTGACACCGCAAAAGTTGAAGTTACTGAATGAAAACGATGGAGCCAACAAGAGGTGGTGGTGGTGTGGTTTTTGTCGCTGTTTTTTTGTCTATGTGTCTTTTAGCTATACAAGTTTATTTTATAATTCACCCTAAATAAAACTCCTAAAGATATTTCTAAACGTAGAAGGGTATTTCTTCAAAGCCGCAGTTTTCTGTGTCCATGCACTAAACTCCACTTATTTATCAAAACAAAAATATACAAAAAAAAGGAGTGTATAATACAGATACAAAGCTAACAGGAGAGGAAACCAATGAAAAAAACCGAAATGCCTAAAACCTGACAACGGTGGCGTGTCCTGAATGCAAAATCCAACACAAAGTCATTTTCCTCAAAATTGAGACCGTGTATCAATATTAGACTTTAGTTCACGTATAATAAATTAGATGATAGTAGTTACGAGTATAATCTGAATTTGACAGTAAACTAGACAGTAGTTTTATCACAGTACCAAGATGAGATTGCTGCGTGTCGTTACTAATCACGCTATATATCGCAAGTGAAGCATTTTGGAAGCTTCGCAATGCGTTAGTATTATACGTCCATTACGCTCCAGCGGTTGGAGAGAACAGGGTGGATGATTTGTGTATACGATATCTCAAAAACTACATTTTCAAGTTTGTATCGAGTTCTTAGGTTTTCGCGATTGTTACTCATAGGAAATGAAACTATCTTTCCGGATTTAAATCGCGTATATTTGTTTTTTAAGTTTGTATAGAATATTTTTTTAAGCATGTGTTGTAAGAACTAGAATATAATAACAATGTATCGGTTTCACATGTAATGTCGTTTACGAGTAATATGAAATATATATGTATTTTTTCTGAATCCCGTGGCTTTGGTTTCGGTGGATTTTATGCCACCAAATTCAGAAAAGCTTTCACCAAAGTCGGTAAAAACTGCCATCTATTCCATACCATAAATATACCATATTTTCTTTGAAAAATAAGAATATACCGTAATATACTATATTTTCTTTGAAAAGCAAGAATTTTATACGTTTTTTCATATATAAATGTTTAATACTTGCTTCCCAGTGAAAATGAATAAGGAAAATTAATACAGAAAAGAAAAATTTTATATTTAGAAGATGAAAGAACGTGCTAGAAAAGCAAAGATAAAAAGCGATTCAATCATATATGAAAGGCTTAAGGAAAAAGATAGAAAGTGGTATGCGAAGAAAAAGTGGAAATAAAGATTTTGAAGTTGCATAAATTACCTCGTCATGTACAGAAATTAATGAGAGGTATTAATGAAGTTCCTAAAAATTGATTGCTTTTGTAGCTACAGATTGCGTTCTAAATTTAAAAAAAAAGAGTTACTTAAATACTTTGTGTGATTGAAAAAAAGTTGAACAGCCAAACTGAAAACTAATTTTCATTAACAGTCATAAGGTGTAAATTGTTTGCGCTATTCTGGCGTTTTATAAATAAATTTTTGTTTTGAAAGCTTGATTTAATAGTTAGTAATATTATTAAATGTTTATGTAGATTATTGAATGTTTTTATTGCCTTTTCCATAATATTTTGTACAAAAATTGTGCCTTTTGTTAAATTATTCTGATTTCGGTGGTAGCTGAATTTGGTGGATGAAATAATAATAATTAACGGAACCTTATGTTAATTTGAGTTCTTTTTCGTCCCGCTCAATGTTTTTCCTGAAATTAAGAAAAACAATTTCGACTACCAAAGTCAGAGAACTTAGGCCTTCTATCTAGGAGAAATGCGCAGAACATAATGACCTTTCAAAATCATGTTTCTCCAATTTTTTGGGAATTTTTCCGGTGTACTTTGGAATTTTTTGGAAAATTACCCAACAGGTAGCATTGGCAACGCTGCTTTTGACAGATCACAGTGACAGTTGTTTATGTTTTGATCACTGAGATACCTTTTGATATTAGTAGTTTGTGGTTTTGATTGTTATTGACGTTCCCCACGTGCGATAGTGATTGTGGTTCTATTTTTTATTTGCCATTAAATATGGATGAAAATACGCCTACAGTTAGTTTAGTATCGTGCATGCACTTTGTGCGACGTGGTGTGGCAAAAGCTATACCTGAAAAGGTAAACAAATAATTCACAGGTTCTCTGATTCGCTCGCGCTATTGTAACACAAGTTTTTAATTGAATCCTATGTATTTCTTTATTTTGAATAGATCGAACTAACAGAAAAGGAGTTGGAGAAAATAATTAAAAGCACTGCTGAAGATTTGCGGTGAGCTTAATAATAATAATCTGTCTAATTAAATAGTCTATGCGAAACAGTGCAATAGGTTATGTTTTTCTCAGTCTAACGGAACAGGCCGATGACGAGAGTGGCGAAGATGGTGAAGAGGGCTCTACTGCTCCCAGAGATCCACCAGCAGACCCAAATGATGAATTCAACTTTGCTAATTATGATGAAGAAGACATAAACAGTATGATTTTTGACATGTCATTGTGTAGTTTTTACACTTTAAATAATATAACCTGTTTCATAATGATGTTCTAAATAGTATCTATATTTTGTTGTTACTTTACTGTAAAAAGTTTGACTTACTATAAAAAGCATTCTTTATTGTAATACTGGTCTGTAAATCTCGCAGGTAAGGGATTACACCTTTCTACAGTTGATGTTCCATCCAGAGACACTAAGTGTTTTGCTTGTACATTGAGTATATTGTTAAGGAGTTTATATTTTTAAAGTCAATGGACTTTTTCTAGACAAGCAAGTGTATGTCCTTATTCATATCTATGCTTGAAAGGCAAAATGGGATAAGCGACACTTATGGTCATATTGAGTTATATAATGCCGTTGCAATCAGCTAATGTTTCTGATTCCTATATACGATAAGGGCATACACTTGCTTGTCTATAAAAAGTCACTATACACCTGGTGAGATTATAGATGTAAGTAGAACTGAAAATGACTTAATAAGCAATTTGTTTACAATATTAGTCACAACTCAACCTGCTTAAATAAGTTAAATATTTTTGAAGACAGATATGATAGATAGAATTTTTTTACTTATATCACTATATAATATGTCGCATAATACATTTATTTTCCAGCTAATCCCATTGGCATTGGAACAGTAGCTACCCTGCCCAATTTAGGGGATCTAAGTGAAAATGTCCAAATTAATGTAAGTAACATCTTCAGTTTGGTGAATTTTAACTGAGTGTAATCTAACAAATCTGTGCTTCTGTGAACTATCCTTGAGTAATAGTTGCTAGTGTAAGAAACTTTTAATTTATAATTTTGTATGACAAATTGTACAGAAGCCGTGGTGGCTTATATGGCTTTCCACATACAACACATGTCCCAAGGAGAGATGAGTTAGGTATTCGACATAAGATGCTTTCTTGCAAGAGTTTCTTTTGAAATGCCTTGCATGCTCTGGTAATTGCACTGATAATGATTCTTCAATGGCTTGAACTTGTATAGCAGGTAGCTGGAAAGGTGTATAACTCATGGTTCAAGGGGATATACTGTGATATACTAATGATATTGTAGTTGTTTACGCTCTTAGAAAAGTGTACTCAACTCATTATGGGGACGTATTGTATATGAAAAGTCATATACGTGTCCTGGTAATCGCAAGAAGTTGTGTAGAAATATTTTGTATATAAAAAATATTTTGAGTCATTGCTGGTGACTATAGTCACTGTAAGCTCAGTTAGAGGTGTCCTGCACTCGCAAGCAATAAAATAATGCAACTATTCAATTTATAAAATTGGACATTTTATCATTTGTGCAACTCAATTCTGTTTCAGTTTAAAAGTAAAACTAATTTGTTACGCTAATGAATGTTGCAGCATATTTTTAATTTCAGAATCCTAGTTTGCCTGTGAGTGCATGGTGCATTTTTATAACCATATAAAGGGAACACATGCCGGCGACAGAGCCTTGATGGCCACTAGCACCGCCAATCTCTGGTTGAATAGTTGGAGCATAAGGGCTTGTGCCAGTAAATATGTAATGAAAATCTATGCAGGCTCTCAGGAAGAGTTCACACTTTGTAATAATACAGTGAAATAGTGGATTGCACACTGACATTTAAATACCGAATCAACAAGAAGAAGAGGCGATTTAGAACTCAGATTTCAGCATGTTGATGACTTTAAAAAATGTTCCACTACACCATACCTCTTTGTTAATACTGCTTTAGATTTTGGCAGTAAATGATAATTTCATTGGACAGTAATAATATTGTTAAAATTTAAATTTTATTTTTGCTACATGTAACATCATTACTACTATTGCCATACCATACCATTTTACAGACTGAAGGTCCAGACAGTGATGAAGAAGACGACATAATTAAGCCCAATGATAATTTGCTACTAGTTGGTCATGTTGAAAGTGATGCCAGTATACTAGAAGTGTATGGTAAGTATAGATAAGTAGATCGAAATATTGCCCACGCGCCTATCCTGTCGACATCTGGTCATAATAGAAATATGTCTTAGTGATCTTATAAACAGAAACACATTTTGTGGAACCATTTTACTAACTCAATTAGAAGCATGCACCAATAATAACTTTACTTTTGTTGTCTGAATACAGTATTACATCAGACAACGTTCTTCATTCGCATATTAATGCTAGCACAGATTATTATTGCTTGAAGTAATGGGCTTTTTACCAAAACAAAAGACATTTACGATGCAATCTTATAATCTTTGTAACCTAATTGAAATTACTTGCTGTACACCATAATTCCAGCCTGGATGTCCTGGTTCCAATAGGGTCTTACAATAATATACAATGTCTTGATTTCAGTATTCAATGAAGAGGAGGGCTCCTTCTACGTTCACCATGATCTAATTCTACCATGGTTTCCACTGTGCATTGAATGGTTAAGCCATGATCCAACTGATCCCAATCCAGGTAATACCTGCTTTAAATTATTCTGTCAATATTTTAGGTAGATTAAAGTGATGGTGGCCTAGTAGTGAGAGAATGGTTGCTTTTCGATTGAGGTGAACCAGATATTAATTTAACATTTGCCATGAGCTTTTCGATTAACGAAAACATCGTGAAGAAACCTACACACATTTGCAAAGTAATTTAGTGACATGTGTGAAATACCAATCCACATGGGAACTACAACCCAAGCCCTCAAGCCATTGTGAGAGGAGGCCTGTGCCCTGTTGTAGGACTATATATTGGCTAACTATTTATATTATGTTATTGAAAATAATAATAATATTAATAATAATAATATCAGCACCCGAGGGACGAGCGATCGAGACGCGCGTCAATGCGTACTTTTTTTTATTATTAATATCAAGTGACGGGACGAACAAGTCGTGCGCCTGATGGTAAGCTACGCACCTGTCCACAACAGTTGCAGAGCTTTAAATCGCAAAGATCTGAGGGGCACTGCCACTGCGCCCGTCACCCTGAAACATACGTTGACAAAACCCATGTACCTGTAATTTCACCAGCACCCTTACGTAGGCCCTAGATAAGGAGCGAAAATTAACTTTTCTAAATTGGTGTTGGGTGTTCTGGGTAGTGAATATCCTGAATGTTGAATCAAAGTGAAGAAAATTTGTACAATATTTTATATTTTTCTCACTAGATCTAGCGACTAGATGTTAGTTTTGATGCCTGTTTTTCTGCTCGTATATATTAATTATTTATCTAAATTATTTATTTTTAATAGGAAACCTATGTGCCTTGGGTGGCATGGACCCAGTAATACAAGTATGGGACTTAGACATAGAGAACTGCCTAGAGCCGGCTTTCAAACTAGGCAAGAAACCAAATAAGAAGAAAAAGACTAAACGAGTTGGTCATAAAGATGCAGTACTAGACTTATCTTGGAATAGTAATTTTAGGTAAGTAACACCATGGACCAATAATTATAACTTTTAAAAAAATTAACTGACCTCAAAAGTTTGTGAAATTACATCTATTTGGAAAGTTTTATTTAAATCGGTTAACGGAAAGTGAATGAAATGTAATAAGTCGGAATCATCCTCTAATTTGTCACCCTTAGAGGTGGCATATTTGTTATTAAATTTTAATGGGACCACTACTGAGGTAACCCCTTTCCGACAAGAAAAGAATCGTCGAAATCGGTTCACAAATGTCAGTGAAATCGCGTAATATACACAAAAAACTACAGTCGGATTGAAAACTTTCTTTTTTTTTAAGTCTGTAACTCAAGGGGACTGCTAACCGCGATACACGACAATGTAGTCGGGTATTTAGTACCTATTGGTACACCAGATGTCGACGAGTACCAACTAGCTATTTTAATAACAAACAAAACAACTAGATGGCGCTTGTTGCACAGATTTTATGGATTTTAGAATTAGCTTTATTATTAGAATTTGTTTAGAATTAGCGCCATCTACCTATATTACCAAGCGTTAATTTATAAATTAGTTCGTTACAACGACATCTATTGATACGCGTATATATATAATATATTAACTCATGGCTCAATATTGAATAATATTACAAGGATAAAAAACTGAATACTTATATTTCATATTAAAGAGGAATTAATTTTATATTCATGGACATAATTTAAACTACTTCCAGGCTATCTATCAGCGCCATCTAGGTTATAAGACTAGATATATTAAGTATTGGATTATTCAATTTCAGTCATGTGTTAGCGAGTGGGTCTGCAGATAACACAGTACTGCTATGGGATTTAGATCAAGGTACACCACATACAAAACTCGACTATTTTCAGGACAAAGTAAGTACCTAATGCATCATAATAATGTGCCAGATAATCGCAACAGTCTAGTCTCTAACCGGAAAACTCACTGTACTATAAGAATTAGAATAACTAAATTACCTCCAGGATACTACTCTGATAGAATGGATTCCTAATCCGAACCTAGAACTCAAAACTTAATAATCCAGTTTTTTACTTTGCATTGCACTGACTACAGTCGGTCTTTTTTGAATATTGAGTAAAATGACAGTTCATTGCCCAAAAGTGTTGCCAAAACTGTCGAAAAAACTTTTTTTATAACGTCAAGTCACGGAGCGAACAAGTCGTGCGTCTGATGGTAAGCTACACGCCTGTCCATAACAGTTACTGTGCCACTCAGAGCTTTAAATTGCAAAGATCTGAGGGGCATTACCACTGCGCCTGTCACCCTGAGACATAAGTTGTCAAGTCCCATGTTCCTGTAATTTCACAAGCACACTTACCCTTCAAAATGGGAACACAGTAATGCTGACATTACTGCTTGGCGGCAGAAATATACTACTATATTTACTGCATGTCTATTTAAAATTTTATGGAACCCTGCAAATGTCATTTTACTCCGTCTCAAAAAAGACAGAATAGTTCGTCTCTTCGAATTTTTATCGCTAGATATGAGCGATGTTTTTATGCCTGTTTTTCGGCTCGTATCTAATTTATACGTTACACAATTGACACAAATTTCATTATGCCATGTACAATTTCGTTACGAAAATTGGCTTCCATTCCGTTCTGAAGCGATGTAAATTGAGCCTTATAATCGTATGACGTTTCAGGTTCAATCTCTACTATTCCACCCGCTAGAAGCCCAAACATTACTCTCGGGTAGTTGTGACGGACACGCAAGAGTCACAGACTGTAGGACGCCCGAGGCCCATCGCTCGTGGAAGATGTCGGGGGAGATAGAACGCGTCGTCTGGGACAGACAGAACCCTTTCTGTTTCGCTGTAAGTATGATAACGAAAACTACATCTGAATCATTATTACGGGGTTATCACCATAAACCACGGTAGTCTTATTATTAAAACAAATAGCAGCCATGAAAAATATTATTCATTTAAAAAAAATGCTTTTCAAGACGCTAAAACTATGCTGGAATATAATTTAGAAAAATAATAATGCGGCGTAAACTTCACTTCATGTCAACTTAGAAAGCGTGACGTCATTCGTAAGTAAACAAGCTGGACAACTATTATTATGCACTTACAACTCGCGCAAATTGGACGTGTTGATTGGACGCTGTCGTAATAAAATAAATAATTAAAATCCAAAATTTTTAGTTTTTATTTAAAAAGTGGTTAAGCGGAGAAAGAACACAAGAAAAGGGTGACGTTTCGTTACGGTTACGTTTGGCGTAAGTATGACGTGGTATTTGTTGTCTAAATAGCGGTTTCAAAGTATTACAATTTTCAGATTATTTATTGATTAAAAAATGTCAAGTCACTTCTATTTCACACACAAATTGACTTTACATTTTAGATTATTTTCTAATTATTGCCCAATTGCCTATTGTTCAAATTTCAAGAAACAAATGTTCGTTTTAAAATTAACTTTGCAAGTGTTTGTTATACTGAAAGATAGATAATCCAAAGAAAACTGAACTAGGGTTGGAAGAAAATTACGATCACTTTGTCACTACAGGCCTACCGCTTAACTGAGTCTATTAAGCAGCTGCGCGTTGTGTGCGGAGGGACAGTTTACGAACAGTTATGTGCACACCGGATAATTTCTTTTTGGATATTCAATAACAAGTTGATTAAAAAAAGTGCCAAATGGCTTGTCTATTAATTTCAATTATCAATGATTTTTTTTTAATATCGTAATATCGTCACATAACAACAATTGACTAATTTGGTAGACACTTTTTTCGCGCGACATAACTGTTACGTAAACTGTCAGCGCCCAGTTACCACGCCTTCATGTAGATTAATAGCGAATCTGAGTTCCATTTACTAGGCAACAACATTTAAATTCCTCTGAATAATACAACCGCGCGGCCGCCGCATAGAAAAAAAATCAAGCCAGCTTCGCCCGCGTGCCCAGGGCGCTCATTTGAGTTAAAACGTAAAAACTAAACGAATAGAGCGTATTTTGCCATGACAGATGCACGCGGCCGCTGCGCGGCAGCAATACGTACTCCGCCCGGCGACCGCGCGGGGTGAGTGCGATGAAATACATGTCGAATAAACGCTCTCTCACTCTTCCGCACCGCGCAATTACCTCATGAAAAGACTCTGTTAAGTGGTAGGCCTGTAATACAAATTATATCATATCGAGTTTCTAGATTAGTCACGATTGCCACGAATTGAAGTGAAACAATTTTTTCAGATTTAAATCGCGTACTTATATTTGTTTTTCGAAACAAACCAACGTTTCGAGCTCTTCACAGGTCCCATGGTCACGGCAGACTGAAATGGTGTTGGTCATCAACCAGTTATGTCTAACATTCATGGATTTGGGTTAGTTACATACATACATATTAACACGCCTGTCTCCCACCGGGGTTGGCAGAGACTATGGACCGCCACTTGCTACGCTCCTGACAAACCTCCTTCGCCTCCTCTTCTCCCATCAATTTCTTCATACAAGCCCGTTTGGGTTAACTGTTTTGAAAAAATAAATATAGGCGATTTAGATCGTAGAAAATAATTTCATTTCTAGTGATCAACAATTGTTCAAAATTGTGATTTGAGTCATTTATAGCAAGTTAGGTCCGTTCTTATTGTAAAGGACCACAAGCTCATTAATGTTCAATTGTATATTTCGACATTTACACATCCAAAAAATATTTTCATCCGTTCACAGATGAGCAACAATGAAGGCAAAGTGGCGTACGTCGATTGCAGACAAAATGAACCATTATGGACTTTGTCCGCGCACGAAAAAGAAGTCACAGGTAAAACGAATTATATTCATCAATTTTATTTATACACCACCATTTAAATAAATGTGTCGTCGCTCAAATGGGTCGCTTGATGAAAGGCACAAAACGAAGCGTTCATAAGTGGATTTTAGACATAAACATCATAATAGTAGTTATTATGATACAAAGATTAGAAAAGAAAGAAAATCTCCGACTGGATTCAACCAATCTGTTCGAATTTTAAACCATTTATTTACCACAATACAAAACAGAACATACATGTATAACAATCTCAGTCAATCAATAGTAGATTGTACAACAAGTGCATAAAACGCGTCATTGTACCCGAGACGAGTATATCTTGGATATTTAATTTGAGGGATGGATGTTTAAGGATACTGAAGTCGAGGGTAATATGGATTTTATGAACGAGTTATACACTCTGCTTTTAACGCACACACACTCAACATACTAGGGAAACACTGTGTCGCGGGTGCCATTGACACACACATAGACAACCACAAATTACACTCAAACTCACGAGAGAAATAAATGTAGGCCATACAAATATTTCTCCCGGCCCAGGAATCGAACCTGGGACCTCTACGTGGCAGTCCGCCATGGTAACCATTCGGCCACAGAGGCAGTATTACAAATAACGATTATTTGATTAAAATTAAATAAATATAAATAATAAATAACGCACACACTCAACATAGCCCCGCACTAGGGAAACCCTGTGTCGCAGGTGCCATGGACACACACATAGACAACCACAAATTACACCCAAACTCACGAGAGAAATAAATGTAGGCCATACAAACATTTCTCCCGGCCCGGGAATCGAACCTGGGACCTCTGCGTGGCAGTCCGGCATGGTAACCGTTCGGCCACGGAGGCAGTTTTGATTGAATCGAATGTAAAGTTACAACAATTAGACATATAATGTGATGGTTTTTTTTGTTTTATACACTAGAGCATAAAATCCTATTTTATGCAGCCTACACCCAGCATAAATACGAACTTTAAGAGGCTTTAAATACGAAGGGCCTGCCATAACCTTTCCAAAAACAATCTTATTTCAATGTACCTAAGCTTAAAGTAAGCTTATTATATATTATTCATATTCGTACCATAACGAAACTCTCAAGTGTCAACCAAGTAATGTATTATTGCTATAGTGATTGAAAAAACGAATGATTTCCCAATATTGTGTATTCCTTACTAAAAATAGGAAAGAGATAACGTTTTGTGAACTATATAATGCCATCTTTCTTTTTTGATGTTCCGAATCGTTTTATCATAGTATAAAGTTTAAGTACTTAATGTTATTTAAGACAATTTTGACTGTTAAAAAAAGAAAAGTATGTAATAGTGAAATCTATTAAAATTACGTTGTTTTCAATAATTATTCCGCATTTTCATGAAGAAAAAGAAATAAAACAAGCCGAGTCTTGATAGTCACGTTGTGAATTCGGAACTATAGTCTAGTGTCAACTGTTAGTTTCGCCAAGAAGCACATAGATGCGCTGTCATAATTTTACGAAGTAAACATCGCGTATTTTTATTTAACGAGAAATTATTTACTATATGCTATTAAATAGAAAATAAACAAAATATTGAAGATATATATGTAAATAAATAAGTTCAACTTAACTTTTAATCATTATAAATCGATATTAAGACAATAAACCTGAGAATAATATTGTTTCTATTGCGTCCATGTAACTATTTTAAGATTGCTAAATTTGACATAAGAGCAATATTACTTTAATGTTAAAGTCGCTAGTGTTTGGGGGAGGCCTATGCCCAGCAGTGGGCGTCCGATGGCTGAATGACGGTGTTAAAGGGCCGTGGTTAGATTTAAAAACGAATAATAAGACACACCTAAGCGGAAAAAAAAGATGTGTGGAATGGGAACAGCCAATGGGATTTTGTTGAATGGAGACACGTTCATAAAATTTCGGATGTACTTATTTTAACTTATTTATGAGGTGTCTTCAGCACACTTGGTACTGAAACGTGCTGTACAAGCGGGGATCAACCCGTAGTTTGATCACCTTAGTACTGCAGCACTGTGCATTCATCTTTTTTGTTCTAGGTCTAATTCTAAGCGAACAAGTCCCCGGCCTCATGATCACAGTCGGCACAGACAGTAAATTGAAAACGTGGGACATATCAAAGTGAGTAACAATTAGTTTTTTTTTTCATGAGATATTCGTAGGGTTGCCAGGTCTTAAAACTGAACAACTGGACAGGTCAACCAGTTTTGCTGGATGTTTGGGTAAAAAGGCCAGACATTTTTCAAGGGTGCATACAGACCTGGCGAATGCGCTGTATGCGCGAGCGACACGCGAACAGATGCACTACGTCCAGCCATGAGCAAGTGCCCGGGCTGAACCTGGCACTTTGTTAATGCAGAGTTAAAACACATTAATGGCTAAAATTAAGAGAGAAAACTATTAACAACTAAATATTTGTTGTAAATCGAGTTTTGGTCTAATTGAATGATATTATTAGAAAATGTTCATGGTAAGGCCCCTGGTCTAGAAGATCAACATTTGCCGATGAAAACAAGATGACGCGCACAGATAGCGTTTAATTTAAGATTGTACGGCCAACGGCACATCAGACTACACATTTTTGTTCGAAAATCGCCTCCAGTACAACATAACAAGATACGTCAATGTGTAGCTTGATGTGCTGGCGTGTGTACATGCTTTTATGTCCAATTATGCCTAATGTATTTTCATACAGCTCGCCTCCAATGCAAGTAAGCGAGCGCACGAGTCGTGTTGGGCAAGCGCTATGCGCGGCAGTGTGCCCCGAAGCTCCCTTCTCGCTCGTCATGGGTGGTGATAACAAAGAGTGCTTTATCGAAGTCGTCGACCTCACTATCAGCGAAGAAGGTACAATATTTTTCTTCTCATAACTTCCATACCACCACATCTGTTTCCCAATGAGGTAGGCAGAGGCTACGGATCTCGATTTCGTAGTAGTATACGTTATCATTGTTTATTTTCTATTTTCAGTAAGCAACCGTTTTGGATCGCGACCGCTAGTTTCTGTGACTACAGAAGCGAACGACAACTCCATGGAAACCTAAATACTTTACGTATTATATGAATTAAATTTGTTATTAAATAAACACTTTATTATTACATTATTTCGTTTTTATATTATCATAGTTACATTAAAAATGTCAACTGATCACAGATGTGTTTGTTCGCTGATATGTAGGAGCATAGCAGAGTCGCTTCCTTGGCGTGTCATAGCTTCGATGCCTCTGCGTCACTGCGAGAAAAAGTTATATAGATCTGCTACAATTATCATCAACATAAAATCAAATAAATTTTTATTTAATGCTCCTAACCTCCATAGCAAAGCTGTTATGTACATTCGCACACCACCACCCAATTGATTTTGAGTTATGGTAGATATAAGCAGTTAATTGCTATTAATTAAGGCTTTTCACAGAATTTACACCTATAAGTGACGAAGTAGTTAACAAGGTCTAACTCAATTTATGGGTCTAAACAATCGCTTAACAGGCGTCTAGTAAATCATAGATTTAGTGTGTTTTACCTATTTTTTGACGAAGTAGCATCACCCTGGGCATTCCCATTCACTTATAGCTCCACTAAAACACGTGAATTTAATAAAATTTAGTAACTTAGTTAATTACTTCCGTCACTTAGTAGGTATAAACCAGTCATTATAAACAAGCAGTGATAATTTGGTGGAATTAGGAGAATGGTACAATCGTCGACCAATAATCTTATACATTCGATAGGTTTGGAATTCTTCGAATTCGGAACGCGTTTTACATACATAATGACAAATTGTGAGTATGTATAAAATACATGTAAAGCTAATATTTACCCCAGCGCACAATTTTATTTCAAACTATATTGGAATATTAACACGAGTGGAATTTTATAATCAGCGCTCGCCGGTTGGAAGTCAATGAAAATAATAAAACGAACATTTCATAACAACTAAAAATATATTTGCAACAATCTATATTTATTACAATTTACAAGCTACACACGAAAATGCAGTCGGGTTATCCTGTATTTAAAATAGTAGTGTTTAAACTAATTCAAAATATGTAACGATATTCCTAGCCGTGCCCGCGGCAACACTAAAGTACGTGCCCATCCCACACCAGATCTTAATAATCTGATGCAATTCTTCCGGCTGGTAGGCCCGTTATCCGTTGTCTACACAGCATAAATAAATTATGGCGTTGAAAAGAAAATCATATCGCAGATATTTGATAACATTCTTGTAAGCGAAACAAGGTTAATTGAAAATAAAACTAGTAGTACCAGTGGGCACAAAATTTCCACTAGTAAGTACCAACAACCAAATAATCTGGTACCAGTAGGAACAAAGCTTTTTCGGATCTAAATCGTGCACATTTTTTTCAAAGAAACCAACATTTCACATCCTTTACAGGTCCCATGTTCGTAGCAGACGCACGACACTCATTCGTGACTATGGTACCTAATCCGAAAAAAAAAAAACTTATTTCCAAATAACAATCGCGAAGAACTACAGCTAAGGTTAACGCTGCGTAAACGACGTTGGTTTTTGCGGGCCAAGATGTCAAATTGTATCATATCATTGCACCGAGCGCAATAAATAACGTCGCCTGCGTGGTGCCCTAACTAAATATAGGATAACCTTAAAAGTACAAAAAATTACCAATCTGTTAACATTGCATTACTCTTGTATGTGTATATTGCTCGACGAATCCGAACTAAAAGCATTTTAATACTGAAAAGCTGATCAACTGATTAATGTATAAAAAAGACAATATTAAAACGAAATAAACTTATAATTATGATTATATTCATTAAAACTCATGATTAAAAGCAATTGTTCGGCAGTTGTAGAGCGAAGTATAAGTATTTATTTAAATATCTTTTTATAATTTATAAAATACCGAGATTTAATTTTTCTTTCTTTCATTATTTACAAGTTCTTGTCAATCGTTTCACAGCCTCGAACGATGTTTACATTTTATTACAAAAAAAACAGTTATTTTTATTGCTTTTCTTTTCTTCTTTTTGCCCTTTTTTATTCTTGTTGTTGGTAATTGGGCAACGTTTTGGTATTAAATAGGAACACATTGTTACTACAATAACCACGCAATTATTATTAATTAGTAATCTGACCTTGGTGTTACGACATCTAATATATAGATTTTATTCTAATATAATATATCTCTTAGTAACAAAAATGTTGTGCATATATTATATCTTTACCTAAAATGTAAACTATACACTATTTGTATATTTTTATGAACCTTTTTTTTTCATTATGGCAACATTCAGCTGTGATTGCAAAACATTCCATCATAAGATTTAAGAGTGGTGTTAACGTCTTTAAGTTAGATCCATTATACTTTTGTCTGCCACGTGTTTTTACTATGCGATTTGTCAGCATCACGACATAGTTCATTTATCTTATATTTCAAAGCAAGGAGAAAATCCTCCCTGTAAAAATAAAATATGAAAGAACCAGTAAGTAGACAAGGGCTGGAAGGTGTTCCAAGGCCCTGCAATGGCGCTAGTCATCAACACATATGCATGTGTATTGTTAATGTAATATGTGTTAAAAAAAATCTACATACGTTTACCAACGAGGCCAAAGGCAAATTTGTTACTTTCTACGTGTAGAAATTCGGAACAATTTCTACTTTTCAAGAGTATCTATTTTGATTTACTTTTTCATTATCCTAGAATAAATTAATATACGAGAACATCTACGCGATACTAACATTTGAACTGTCTACTTCGTATTAATAACATTTATAGATACCTCGTATGCAACACCCCGAAAGTATCATCGGATAGTTGAAATTACTTCCATTTGCTCTCGTGCATATATATATAACAATCCCGGCAATTCCTTGAAAAAAAAAATAGACAAAATACACCAAGTTAATTTTAAGTTAATCCTGTTTCAATTCAATCAGTTTGAATATAGAAGAAAAAACGACATGGGCATGAGTTCAACTTCCATTGGTTATCCAGCATTTGTCAAATATAAAACCAATGAATAATGATACGGCAGCACCACAAACACGTTCTCTTAATTATACGTTGCTGAAATTAGTCCAAGCAACCAATGATCTCGCGTCCACCAATTAACCAAAGACATAAACACAATTCTCCAAAGCCTTGAAAAAACAAATGGGTAGAACAGCCAAGCTCCCTGGGCCATAAAAAATAAAAGAAATTGAAAATTACTGGTCTTCAGGGAACTTATTGATTGCGTCATTCATAGCCATGGCGACGTATGCAACGTTAGAGGGGTTCAAGCCGCAAATATTGATGCGGCCTGATCGCAATAAGTAGATGTGGTATTCCTGAATCAAGTACTCCGACTGGCGTTGGGTCAGCCCAGTGAATGAGAAGAGACCGATTTGTTTTACTATGTGGTCCCAGTTGCCGGGTGTACCCAATCTGCAAAAGAATTAAGAATTTTAAAAATGTCGCATAAGAATCTTACATAAAAATATGATTATCAGCAGCGTGCGTTCTGAGTCAATGCCAGTGTAATATCATTAATTCGCACGATTTTCCTATATTTATTAAACAGATTAATTACTGCATAAATTCAGAATCGTATAGTCACACCGATATATAATTATGCGCATAATTGTTTTGCGGATTCATAATTATCAGCTTAATTGTTATGCCACATAATATACAGCGTATTTTAAATGGGTCAGTATGGGGAAATCCGAAACTATAGACGATATAAGGAAACTGTCTTAGGAACCATTATTAAATCTTTTTTTTGAGAAAACAATTTTGGAATAGTAAATTTTTTTGGTCAATGGTGAGTTGTCCATAAAAATTAATAAAATTGATAATTTTTTTGATGCTGATCGATTCAAAGCATATGATTCGATCTGTGGATTAATTCAGAGGTATAACGATCCATTACGATTTAAATTTATCATTTTACGATATTCACGGCGTGGGTACATTGGATAAATGGAGATCTCCATTTACATGGCTGTTGTACGTGTATTGTCGCCATATCCACACTTTAGACCGATTTCACCTGAAATGCCTTCGTAAAATATTATATTAAATATTAAACATCAGCTGGTCCAACCGCGTGCGGAATACCGAAGTCTTGCGAAGAGCAAAGGAATCGAGGTATACCTTATGCGGCGACAACTTCGTTGGGGCGGCCATATATCAAGGATGGCAGAGGGGCGAGTGGCAAAGCGCATCTTTTATTCTAGGGCTTAACTCAAGGGGGGCAAGCGAAAGCACAGCGGACAACTCCTTAGATATAAAGATGTGCTTAAGCACCACATGAAAATTTGCTATATTGGCGATCGCCCGCAGTGGAGATCTTTTGTGGCAAACAAAACGTCACAATTTGAGACTCGTTGACGAATTGAGTTGGACGTCAGACATGACGAGCTGAAAGCCCGACCACCTGCGGCGATCAGCTACTATTACTTTGACGGTGTGCCCAGTGGGTACGGATGTTTACTAATAAGATTGGGTACGTGAGCCATGTGAGAGTGCACGAGCGCCACCAACAGCGAAGCTGAAGCAGTTGCCGTGGCCGAAAACGGTCAGGAGAATTCATACTCACATTGTTAAGGTAGAAATAAGTTTGTCTGCTATCAGTTACGTTTGGCTCTTGAAGTTTCCAAATGAAAGTAACTTTTAAAATACTCACTTAATAAGTTCAGCTCTCAACGCTTCTCTCATTTGCTTCACTCTAGTCGCCATTGTTTTGATGTTATCTTTCCTGCATGATAATTACAAGATTTAGAAATAATTACTATTTGAAGATAAGGTGTTTTTAAAGTTAGCGTGAAAATGAATCTTTTAGCATACGTGTAATAATTTACATGAAGTGTGACGGTGGACAGACGTTATTCTAACTGATATGGAATAGAGCCCTCTTTTTTGTGGCCCTTCGCCCTAACAATAAAGACGAACTAAAAAATTGTTAGCGTCACCAAAAAAAAACCGGTAAGCAAATTGAGGGAAGAACTACTTCCTTCTTCTAAAAACCTTAATTTATTTTAGAAAACCAACAGCGTTTCTTAAATACAGTACAAATATTTATGTTTGTTAGTAAGGCCAACAATAGATCACAAGTAATATAGAGAGCATTAGGTAAAATTACATAACATATAATATTAGGGCTTCATTTCAGGGTTCAAAATTAAATTGTCTGTCTGTTTATTGACGACCTCGATGGCCTAACGATTTAAACTGTGAGCGCTGGATGTGGAGGTTTCGGGTTCTATTCCTGGTAGGACCAATTTAGGGAATAAACTTTTTTAAATTGTTTCTGATTTGGGTATTTTGAGATGTGCCCCTGAGTGAATTTCATGCATTTGGTGTGGTTGTCTGGCACATTATTATAATGACATACTGACCATTCATCGAATAGCTGTTGGTTCTTCAGGACTGCAGCCACAACTCGAGCGCCGTGCGCTGGCGGGTTCGAATACATTCCACGAACGACCCACGTCACTTGTGACTTAATTGCAGGCACTAGCTTCGGGTCGTTTATCACGAATGCTAAGTTACCCACACGCTCGTCTGGAAAGAGATTTTTACTGTAATAATTTTATTAGAAATTATACAAATGTTTCATATTTAAAATCTCGTATTTTTGTTTTTTTTTTTTTTCAAACAACCCAGTCAGTCATTATACAGTCAACCGTGACCTTTAGCCGGAAACGTTGGTTTGTTTCAAAAAACGAATGAATGCGACTTCAGTTCCGAAAGAAAAAATATTCTTTTTTTCTAAGTCAAAATCAAATAATCTTTATTTCATAGGTTTCAAATCACACTTGAAATCGTCATATTGATTAAACTCTACTGCTCGTTCGCAAGGCTAATTCCCTTGAGAAGAATGGGCAAGAAACTTTAGGGTTGCTCTTTGTAAATAAACATTTGTGTAGTTGAAGAAATTTTATTTGCACCGATGAATGTTCTCTCTTGGAACGACTTATCCATGCTATTAACATAGGGTAATAAAACCATTAAGACTCCTTTTTATTTAAAGCGTACACGGATTAAAAGCTAAATGCTTTTTCTGAAATCTTGTTTTGCTATTACTTCTTTACTCAACAGGTTGTTTTTTTAACAGTAGGTAAGTATTTCGTAAACTCTCTCTCTCTTTCTTTCGTAGACTCTTTTCTTACTAATTCAACAAGTAATTTACGCGTAAAGATTGTCAAGTTTCGAATTAAGTGTCAAAATGCGCAAAAGTATTTAAATCAGTTGTTTGTACTATACATCTGTACAGTGACTCTGACACGTGTGTAACCGAGACGGTTCACTCCTTTGTCCTATTGTACTCTAAAGACGAAACAATTAGACGAATTGGTGCAAATAATATTTCGCCAACTAATTATACTCATTTATCATTCCCAATATTTATTTCAAACATAACCACGGAGTTTTGTCATCCAAGTACTCAGAAGCTGTATAATAAATAACCTTTAGTAGTTTAATTTCCATTGTGAAGCAATTGCGAAAACCAAACCTCTTTATTTCATAGCTAAGCAAATAATAACGCACAATTTTTTTAAATAATATCAAGTGACGGGACGAACAAGTCGTGCGCCTGATAGTAAGCTACACGCCTGTCCATAACAGTTGCAGTGCCACTCAGAGATTTAATCTCAAAGATCTGAGACACAAGTTGACAAGTCCCATGTGCCTGTAATTTCACCAGCACCCGTACCCTTTAAAACCGAAAAACAGTAATGCTGACATTACTGGTTGGCGACAGAAATAGGTAATGGAAATTTTAAAGCTCGAACTATAGTTCGAGCTTTAAAATTTTTTTTAATCAGACATTGTATATTAATAAACGAACCGGAAAGAAAGTTTGCGATCTATGGGATGTCATTTTGACAGTGACAGTTGTTTGTTTACATTTTTGGACTTCGATTTCATTACAGAGTATAGAGAGAAATTTGTGGGACTACCTTGTAACAGATAAAAAGTAACTCACTGTAAAGTCCGAAGTTCTTAGCATAAGACTGCGCACAGACCAGCTCGAATCCTCGTTTCACGAAGTAGCGAACAGCGTAACCATCCTTATCGAGATCACCTGACGCGAAACCTTGGTACGCGCTGTCGAAGAACGGGAACAGTTTGTTTTCCTGAATTAGAAAAAGTACAATGTGTGAAATTATATCGTGAATGTACTCGTATTATAAAAACAAATTAAGATATTCACATTTTTTCTTCATAGTTGATGAGTTACAAGTGAAAATGCGGGAGATATATTTAAAAAAGGTCCGCATGAATAAATTAGAATAGAATTAAAACCTCCGTTACAGCTGGTTTAACTGTCTATTATACCGTTACATTGTTAATTTATTTTTTAACCGACTTTAAAAAGGACGAAGTTCACAATTCGACTGTATTTTTGTGTGTGTATGTTATGCGATTAAGCGTTTGTGAACCGATTTTGATGATTATTTTTTGTTGGAAATAACGCACACGTTCAAAACCCTGGGAAGCGCACTGGGAAGACCCTGAATCGGTGCTTTGGACACACATATAGACAACCAAAAATTACATCTAAACTCACAAGAAAAATAAATGTAGCCCATACAAATATTTCCCCCGACCCGGGACCTCTGCGTGAAAGTTCAGCATAGTAACCGTACAGCCACAGAGGTAGACACAAACACACAAATATAATAAATAAACAAGTTTGAAAGAATATTTGTTACTCAATATCGGAACATATTAGTACCTACGTAATATTTTATATCCTGGAAGCAAGCAAAGTTGCAGGCAGAAACTAGTAAACTTATAAACTTTTCATTGTAACCTTCAAAGCAAAATACACTTTATTGGCAATAAATTAAGTGGAATAATGTGATAATCATCAAAAACTTCACATGTCTGTGCTGTGTGATGATCAAATGGAACTTACATACAAGAACAGCTTGATTTGGACTCGGTAATTTTGTACTAAGTATTTGTATCTTATTCCGAACATAATATACGTTATTGGACCTAATTATTAACATTTAAAAAGACTAATATTATTTGGAACGTATTTCTACATTCTTAGACACTCGCACTTTATTAAACTTTAAAATTGAGGATAACACATAAAAGTACTTTCTGTTTACATTTTCGAAGTAAACACCAGAATAACATTGAAATTTCTAAAGACTTAATTCCCTTGTCTATCGTAAAAGTTAGTTAACCTGTGCCTTTGATATCATCCGATCAAACCCGTATAGAACTGCCACATAGCTAGTGCAAAATAAGGCCAAAATGGGCCAAAATTTTAGAATATCTGACAACGAATTGGGCGTCGATATTATTTTTAGTAGTAGAACAAGCCAAAATGAAGCCTCCCACTAACTTTCAGTTTTAAGAAATCAATGGTTATCAGGAAAATAATTTTTGAATGAAAATCTAAAAAAACATTTGACTGCGTGACACTTGTGTCTGCAAAAATTGCTCCATAAAAGCACAGCGATGGAACTTTGTGTTGCGTTTGGCAATTCCATGGCTATACGTGTTGTTTAAATTTGATATTATTATGATCAGGTATAACAAGAATATAATTGATTATGATGATATTACGGATTTTTAAAATTTCTTTTATCTTGGCATTTTAATACAAATATTGTAATTAATAACACATTAAAACCTTGTGTAAAAATTAGATTTATATGATATAATAGGCGCTATTATAAATTTGTACTAATCGTTATGCAAAAATTTGTATTTGACGAAACTAAATGCGACGCTCTAGTAAAAAAGAGTGGTATTGTATGGTAACTCCGTACAAAGTAAAACGCATATTACAATACCTAATATCAAGGGCCCTGCATCAAAGGTAGGCGCGTCCCTAGTTTTGGCCCCGCTCTTATTAATTTTTAAATACGTCGCCCATATTAGGAACCTAAAGCGTAGGCCACATCGCGAACGAAGCTAGCTAACTTAGCTTAGCTCACGTAGTTGCATGCAACCACCTTTTTTTTAACGTCAGGGAATCCTTATGGATACCGTCCGCCCGGGGGAGGTGAAGAGCTATGTCGGACTCCTACCGACTAAAACCTGAAGGTGTTCCATCTCTACTTACAGACATACATACTCAAGTCTAAAACCATAAACTTATCTCTTTTTGACGTCGGTTTAAGAAAGTTACAGTCGATTATTTTTATTTTACTTTGATATTATAGCTTCGAAAGTAACCTTAAGTATAATAAAATAATATTTACCTCCATGACATCAGCAATCTTTTCCCACTGTTCGGGTGTAGGATCCATGCCGGTAGGGTTATGCGCGCACGCATTCAGAATGATGACAGAGTTCTCCGGCGCACTCTTCAAGTCCTCGATCATGCCGTCGAAGTCTATGGCGCGAGTTTTCGAATTCCAGTAGCGATAAGCGCGAGGCTTTGTGAAACCGGCATTCGTGAAGACTAGGATGTGGTTTTCTGTGGACATTTCGACTTTATGAGATTCTATATTAAGTATTATTAGTCTCGCTGCTGCTCAAAGTTCACCTCTAAATACAGCGCACTAAAGTGTATAGCCAATGTGTATTGAGCCCTATACATATCTTCTAAGAGTAATGGAACTTCGCGACAAGTAGGAAAGACAATATTTTCCTATAATTATTGTTATTGAATATCAATCCTGATGTTTTTACTGTCATGATATTGATATATTTTTAACCGACTTTAAAAAAGGAGGAGGTTCTCAGTTCGTCTGTATATTTTTTTTGTATGTTTCACGATAACTACTAATATTATTATAATAATAATAATCCGATGAAATTTGAGAACCGATTTTGTTGATTCTTTTTTTGTTGGAAAGAGGGTACCTCAGTATTGGTCCCATTTAAATTTGAAGAAAATATGCCACCTCTAAGGGTGGCAAACTAGGGAGGGGATGAATCCGGTTTCGTGCACTTTCTGGTAACCAATTTCAATGAAACTTAGTAAATATGTAGTTTGTTATAATTATTAATACAAAGATCGAACACTCAGAAAAAATTCATTCGATCCGACCGGATTCTCACCGGACCGGACACTCAGTCTGAGTGTTCGATCTTTGTATTTATAATTATAACAAACTAGAGGAGTAATTTCACAAAAAATAATTGAATATCAATTGAATAAAAATTTAATTAAATATGTAGATGTTTTTCCACGAAATTTTGAGGTCGGTTTTTTTTATAAAAAACTTACAATTATTAATTATTTAGGAAATGAAACTATTTTTCCGGATTATAATCGCGTATATTTGTTTTTTCAAAAGTCATCAACCAGTTATGTCTAATATTAACGAACACCACCTTATTTTTCACAATAGTTACAAAAGTTATTAATTAAATACCTTATTTTACAATGATTTATTAATTAAATACCTTATTTTACATACCAATTTACGCTACATGTTTTACAATTATTTAATTTGAAAAAAATTATTTTTTTTTATTAAATTTATTATGATTTATAATGAAAATTAGAATACATTATATGTGTAACAATCGCGAAAATTAAAGAACTCGTTACAATTATTTGTGAAAATACTCCAGTTAATTTATCCAGTCGGATCGAAGGAAGTTTTCTTTGCGTTTGTTCAATCTTTGTACCAAGAATATTTTCGTCAGGGTCGTTGAAAACTTGCGTAAGACTACAGTTCCAAACAGCAAGGGCGAACCCTGAGGAGGACCACGATGAGTTTATAGTACGTTTTCGATGCCTGTTCCAAGTACTGGGCTTTTATGTAACTCCAAGGTATTTGACGGAAAACAAAGGGAGATAGTTGAGGGTAAAGTTAACACCTTGCAACTGAACGGGTTGCTTGGTTGCGAATGGAGAGGTGTAGTTGTCGTGTATTTGTCAAGATTAATATAGTTTTCCATTTTCAAAAGTACTATAAGACTGTGCACTGAGTAGTACAAAGAGGGTGAGTTTTACAAATTTTCACTAGTGTACTGTGACAACAGAAAAGGCAACAGTACAGAGCCTTGTGGGACACCGTCTCTACTAGCGTAAAAGGAGGTAGAATGCACCTGAGTCGATAATAAAAATATGTTGATAACATTCGAATTGCGTAATTTCCATGGTAAAATGTTTCACGACTTTAACTAGCATTCTTTTATTACAGCGCAAGTTTTTGCGGCTTCTTATCTAAATAGGGCAGCTATCTTATCTCTTTAAGATTGCAAATCTACCGCGACCAGTTGATAAGAAACTATGAAAATTGAAATATTTTTAAGGCATTCAAATTGAGTGATAGGGGCCAAGTTATATTTGCTAGAGTCAGTGCTGCGTCCATTCCAAAAGCAACTTTAGAAGTATACCGAGGGTTGCAAGTGGAAAGAGATGTCTAATGTCTCTTAGAGAGGTAAATAGGCAATTACGAACAAAGAAATATTCAAATTTTATTTACTGGCGCGAACGTTTACATTGCCGTTCCACCCGTGTGGCATACAATGTGTTTCATCATACTTGAAAAGTTATTGAAAAAAAAAATACTTCATTCAAACCTCTAGGTACCTCATAAATAAATATCTTATATAAAGAATAAATTTATTTTCGAGCATTACAACTAAGTAAATAATAGAATAATAATGGTATTTATGTACCCATAAATGTGGATATTTTCATTTAGTTTGCAAAAAACTAGTAAAATATAGTCGGCTTTATTTAATGTGTAAGATACTTCTTACATAAATAAAGCCGACTATATATAATATCCACATTTACGGGTTACAACCTCTACAAAGGCCCAGATAGCGTATAATTACAACAAAATATGAAAGATAGAAACGTAATAATAGTCCCAACTGATTTTTAATTCTAGAGAAAAACTTACAACAGTAAAGAGACTTACCCCATGTGGGATTTGGGTAATAGAATGTGGTGTATTTGAGGTGCTTGCTCAGGAATTCGGCGCCGACGCGAAGGCCACCCGTACCAGACAGACATTGGACACCGAACGTCTGGGGAAAAACAAGTTCAATATAAATTTTTGTAACAGTAGAGAAAGATTTCGTCCAAGGTAGTACTGCCACCTTACCTGTTTCTACCGCAAAGCAGTAAGTCAGCATTACTGGTTCCGGTTTTAAAGGGTAAGGGTACTGGTGAACTTACAGGCACTTGAGACTTTGAGCCGCTCAGATCTTTGCGATTTAAAGTTCTGAGTGGCACTGCAATTGTTATGGACAAGCGTGTAGCTTTCCATCAGGCGCACTAATTGTTCACCTCGTAACTACATATTATATAAAAAAAACACGAGGCGAGTGGAAATTCTTTGTAACTAAAGCTAATTAATACTTACTTTTCAGCATACTTTAAAAAAATGAAAGATAAAACACTATGGTATGGCAGTGGCAATATAAGACAAGTATGGTAACTCCGTACAAACCTCGCAGCGCGACTTGCATGTGTGTGCACCCGCAGCTCGCCGTGTACTGACGCACACATTCGCGTAATCTCACGATGCACTTGCGTTGCATAACATTGCAAATGCAATTGCGTGTGCATCTATTCCGACGCGCGGCAGTTGCGCACACACACAAGCCGCGCCGTTACTTGGTATGCAGTTAACATACATCTCTTATTTTAATAATTAATACAAACCGACTCGAACATGCGACCACGCCAAACCAGAGCGAGGCTGTCAACTGAGCTACAGCTCGAGACAGCAGAACTTACGAATTAATTTATGTATTTGTTATAGATTTTTGTATTGGTTTTTTTAACGCCGTAAACGGTAAGTAAAAATAATTAGCAACATTTAATTTTATACGCTTTTTAACGCAGAATCGGCTTCCGCCAATCAGAAAAAAAGGATTTACGTCCATGCAACAAGAGCGCACAATACTTTGAGTTGTAACGCTTTTTTTGTTCTTATCGTGGACATAAAGCTCTTTCTGACCGGACCGAAGTGTGATGATTTCTTTAGTCTAAGTACTTACACGTCCTTCGGCTAGCACGGGGTTGTCTTGGCCGAGAAGCACTGACACTGAGGCCTGCGTGAAGTCTTCCAGACCTGAAAATCACAAACCTTGGAATGACATTTTGTACTATATCTCAACCTATATTCTATGGGACCATGGGACCTACAAAAAGAGGCCGGCACGTAGGCGTTGGTTTAAAAAAACGCAATATACCTACACGATTTAGATCCGTAAAATATATGTAATATTCTAATATATAATATTCTAATGTATGTGTTTTATATAAATGTGTATAAAATTAATAAGGAATATTCTATGTGCTTTTATATTACACTCTGTGAAGTGATTGTAAATGTTTTGTTTCTGTTTGTATTTGTGCTGAATAAACGTGTTATCTATCTATTTATATTTAAAGTTAATTTAACAACAGTTCATTTTCATTTTTGCTTTTATTTTGTAATTACTTAAGGACATTTATCCTTTTGTTTTATGCCTGTCGTTCTTACGTATGCTTAGAGGTGGAAGGGCGAGAGCCTGGTGCTTTATAACACAGGTTTTTACTAGTATGGACACCAGACTTTCACAAATGAAACGTATGTTTACTAACATGTGAGGACCAGAGGCATACCAGTTCCTTATAACTGCCTCCGTGGCCGAACGGTTACCATGCCGGACTGCCACGCAGAGGTCCCAGGTTCGATTCCCGGGTCGGGAGAAATATTTGTATGGCCTACATTTATTTCTCTCGTGAGTTTGGGTGTAATTTGTGGTTGTCTACGTGTGTGTCCATGGCACCCGCGACACAGGGTATCCCTAGTGCGGGGCTATGTTGAGTGTGTACGTTATAGTTCCTTTTATGAAAAATAATAAAGATATTTACATTCTCACTTTAAGATCTCTCCCAAAAATCGCTCTTGTGCTGCTTGCAGCCAGCGGGTTCTTTTCTTAGTAGGAGGTTTATGTCCTTCAATGGATATCTTTCGGTTGAAATGACAATGATGATCTATTCGGCCGTTTGGGAGCTACGGTGCCACAGATAGATAGATACACAGGCAAAAGTTTCAATCATCTCCTCTTTTTCGGGGATTAAATAAATGAGACTATACCCATTATGCAAAATGTAAACTTCTCAAAATATTTCGCTTAGAAGAATAACAAGAATTAATCACGCAAAAGAGGTGAGCAAGAACAAAAATAGATAGATAGACAATTGACGTATTTAAAATTCAAGGCGAGTTAGAATTTCTTTGAACTCTTGATTAAGTGATCGAAAGACGATGTTGGTATTTGATATAGTGACACACTAAAACGTAACGCATGTGTCATACCAGACTGCAAATCCGGTACATTCGGTTGGCTGTACACGCAAAGACCGTCTACACGGTCGATCTTCACCGAGAGTAAATTTGCGGAAAGAATGTGCATTTTCATTTGAACGTGCTGTGTAAATTGGTACCATGCGCTTGCACCATGTCAAGCCACGTGAAAGTAGTAGTTTTTCCTAGTACAGCATCCATGTGCGTATGTGTGATTAATCCTATACGCATTCGTTATTAGCAGATATTGGTGTAGGTAGAGTACTTTTAGGCAATGTCGCGTGTATTGTAACTTATTTTTATTTAATTTTTTGCAACTTAACTCCCGAAGAAAATATAATACCAAGATGTTGCACGCCGGCTTGCGTGGTGCTTGACAATGAATTTAATGTCAGTGTTTAAAAGATAAGCGCTCAAATGAATTCGGATATTTCAAATAATTCCTGCTATACCTTAATCTCATATAATAGAAATAGAGTGTATACCGCCCTCCTACATCGCGCAATGATTAAAAATTAAAAGAAAAAAAATATAGATTATAATAATACAATTTCTTAAATCAATAATTTTATTCAGATCTCTAGCCAGTGAGTTCAAATCATCCTATATCCTTTATGGCCTCTCCACACTCGCGGCGAAGCATGAGTGTGGATACCATTCGCATATTCTTCGCGGCTCGTCCTGATTGTTGTCGATATTTAGTCCCGTGACAAAGGGTTCGCGAAGCGCGAAGTTAGCGTGAACGCGACAAGACTCCACATCCGCGTGCGCTCAGTTGCCGATACGTAAGTATCGCAGCAGCAACAGCAACTTCGGCGTCCATCTTCGTCACGCGCGCGAACTATACCGTAAACCAGGCGCGAACCTCTGCGAATATGGAACTGTGGAAGTTCTTGCCGCGATCCACACCGCGATTCGCGCCAAAATTTCGCGCTAGCACGCGGTACCTAACTTGCGTAAACTTACTCGTAATACTCGACCGTGTAGCCTGGTCATGCGGCTATCGTTTGTAGTACGCTGTTTTAATTTTATTGATCAATATTTAGCAGATAAACAGATCTTATTTGTTTGTATTAACTACCAATACTGCATTAATATCCATATCAATCATAGTATAATCAATAATCCTTATTGCAGTCAAATTAAATGCTTGTAACTTAATGAACACAGCATAGTTCCACGTAGGTAATGCGTGCCTCGTATTTATTTTAATCATTAATACCTGAATGATAAGTGCCAGATATCAATTCCCCTTGTATTCTTTGACACTACATAGAATAATAAAGTGTATCGTATTATTCAATATGTATTGTAAGTGAGAAATATGTACAATAAATGTTTATTTACAAAGAGCAACACCTGGAGTTTCTTTCTCATTCTTCGCATGGGAATCTGTCTTATGAATGAATAATGAAATTCAATTATACTGACGATTTCATGTGTAATTTGCTTATGAAATAAAGTTTAAAGTAGCAGTCGAGTTTTTTGAAAGAGTTGGTCCAGGGAAGTACTGCCACCTTACCTATTTCTGCCGCCAAGCAGTAATGTCAGCATTACTGTTATGGACAGGCGTGAAGCTTACTATCAGACGCAGACTTGTACGACGTATACTTAATGGTGTAATAAAAAATAAACAAAATAAAACAAAAAAATATAATTTTCAAAATTACTGTAACCGTAAAATTGTTTGTTGCTCGTCTGACCTCTTGAAGCTTATTCATGGTGCACCACGTTTTACAAGATTCAAAATTCCACTCAAAGGGCGTCTGAATAGCGACACGGAGACGATTAAAGAAATGCAACGAATGCACATGGTTATTCCGAAAACTGACTTCCATAACTGCTTTGGGATGTGAAAGCACCGATGGGAGCGTGTTGTTCAGTCGAATGGAGATTACTTTGGAGGATGCCACGAGCCGGATGATGATTAATAGCGCGAAATAACGGACGAAGGTCGGATACTGTTGGGAGGGACTTCGTACGCTATCGACACGAAAAAATGTAAATAAAAAAGATAAGTATCAGGCTGCTTCATTAGCTTAAAGATACTGTGATTGGAGAACGGTCCATATGATACGATTTATATTGGCTTGTCCAAGAGTCGTATTCCAGAACTGTACTGAATGCTCAAGTCAGGATTTGAGCAGACTTGAGTATTGAAATCATACTACTGGAAATACGACCCTAATGGCAAGGATTTGAGTATGATTTCTAGTGCTTTGAATCATACTCAAGTCCTGACTTGAGCATTGAGTAGAGTTCTAGAATACGACCCTAAGAAATTCATTCCCTAGTTTACACTAAATTTGACGAAAAATTTCCAGCATTTCTGTTTTTGCCGCATGTTCTTCCTCTTTCTACTTCACCTTACAAACATCCACTCTTCGCGACTGTCCTCTGCATTACATAATGGATCAAATTAGACAACATATTATTTTCGTCGTGAATAGATAAGGAATATAAACTTTGTGCAAATAATTAAGTTAAATTGTGTAAATAATTAAGTTAGGCATCGTTTAGGCAACAGTGACCAATTATATTATCTCCAACTCCAATGAATAGTATCTTTATATCAATAAAAGACTTTATTTAACGCTCAAAAAGATAAGATTAGTCATAATTCGATTATTACGGTTCTGCATGGAAATAATATTTAGCTGGTTCTCGTGTAAGCAATCCTTGAAAACGGTTGGTAAAACGTGGATATAAATATACTTTTCTAAAGAATTGACAGTTCTATACTATTGTTCCAGTTAGGTAACTAATATTTTCAATAATAAATTAAGTCTTACATTATGATGTTTACTGTTTGATAAAAGATTAATAAATAATTTCGAAACAGCAGTAGTAATGTGTTGGTCAAAACGTCGCGTGCAGTTTTTGCCACTAGCTAACTTTAAACAGAAAAAAACTTTTTTACATTGATTTCAACTTCACGATTTTAACAAATTATTGGATTTTAAAAACAGGACAAGGAAAGTATCGCCCGACAAGTCGCCGGATATGTTGTGTTGTGTGTCGATCTAATGACAACTCTTGTACACAAATAAGTAATGAAGACCAAGTGTCTTCAGCACCTTCGAGACCATGAACGTTAAAGAAATAAATGTTATATACACGATTAAGTCCCGTTTTTAAAACGAAATAACAAACTTTTTTTTAATGTGTTATATTGTCTATGTTTATTTTAAACATAAGATTTTAGACCTCATTTTAGGCAAAGGCGGCGACGATTTAAAATTTAGATAGATACCTAGAACTCGTGAATTAGGTGACTTACATCGGTATTCATCGTGGTAATGCCTAACCATACACATTACGATGTGTTGTTACCTCATTCACCGTATTCGCACGACATAGTCTTTTCAGATTGTCATTTGTTTCGATCTTTACAGAATTCTGTGAATGGACACGACTTTGATAACAAAGAGATCATCACTGTACAATTATTATTCCTATGTAAATTTTGTTATGTTTATAATAAATAAAAATAAATAAATAATCAAAAGACACTGAGCTGTATTTTCTAAGACTGGATTTTTTATGAAAGCGGCACTCTAAAATTACTTAAAAGATGACAAAATATCATCAACATGTTGGACATTGCATAACTTGAATAAAGTATGATATATTTTTATCGAGTTCTTAGGTTTTCGCGATTGTTACACATAGGAAATGAAACTATTTTTCCGAATTTAAATCGTGTATATTTGTTTTTTCGTACGAAATCCGGATATCCGGAAAAATAGTTTCATTTCCTATATGATATATTTTTTTATATTTTCATACCGCACGGACGGACTTTTGTAATGGACTTTAAAAACATCAAAATATCATTGAAACATTTGTAAACATTTTTATTTTTCTTTTATTATTATTTCTTACATAGTTGTATTTAGGTTTAGTCGAGTAATTTATGTAACGTTACTTTTGTAGTTGTCCATTTATTGTTATTTAGTTTTAAGCTGATGGTCCCGTCGCCAAAGCTTAATAAAATTTAAAAAATCATTTAAAGAGTCTCCTAAAAACGCTTACTGCACTACTCGATTTCAAGGAATTCTAACTCTAATTTAGGAAGTTGTAATAAGAGGTGGGAAGAGGGTCCTTAATTTGGGCGATCATACATTTTATCGATAATGGAAATTTGAAATGTCGTAAGTTTCTTAGAACAATCCAACTTTTCCAGTGTCGATAGCTAACAATTTCGTCGATGTATCGAATTTTCAAATATCGTAAGCGATATTTTGTAGTAAGGAACATTATCCATTACGACAAAATATTCCTTACATTTCTCGATATAAGTTAATAAGAGCGACGTGCAGGGCCCTTGAAATCGGGTAGTGTAATAAGCGTTTTTATGACAGGAGATTGAAATCATAAATAATAACAATAATATTGACGAAATTAAACGTCAATGTCAAAAAGAAACCAATCAGAGTGCCTCTCGGCGGCAGTCAGTCAAAACAAACTATTTTATCATATTTGTGTTATTATTATTTCCTTAATGGCGTTTTGCAGTTGCATCAGTGTTTGTCACTTCCATCAGCTGTTATGTTATAAGCAATCGTGTACATAATGATTGTGTTCCTGATAACCTCTTGAACGAATGAATGACGATAGATTGGTTTTATTCAAAAGCTACTGATAAGCAAATGGTAAGATTTCGAGATAAGTATAAACAATTCTCGTTTCTCTAAACAATAAGAAATTATCAAAAACCGAACCGAAAGAAAACAAAAAACGTAGGCATTAAAGGTAATATATCATTTTTCATGTCAGATAGAATTTTATCATATTCGGCACCCGCAAAATGACATATATTATGGTGCCGCGTATGGTATTTATTTTAACATATTTTTTTCATTTTCAAGAAAATATTTTTCGAAATTTGGTCACTTCATTATTCAGGGTGAGACAGAAACAATGGTTTTAATATCTTTATATGCCTAGACTTAACAAATTCAGGGTCGTATTCCAGAACTCTACTCAATGCTCAAGTCAGGATTTGAGCAGACTTGAGCATGATTTCAAGCACTGGAAATACGACTCTAATGGCAAGGACTTGAGAATGATTTTCAGTGCTCACTGTAATACTCAAGTCAGGATTGCACTGGAAATACGACCCTAATGGCCGGGACTTGAGTATGATTTCGAGTGCTTTAAACCATACTCAGATCCTGACTCGAGCATTGAGTAGAGTTCTAGAATACGGCCCTATGAGCCCTAACTGTAAATTAAATTATTTTTTCAGCACTGAAACCGTATATATCTCGTTTCAGGGTCTTTACAGGTGGGACAGGTGACCTGACCTAGCGACGACTGGCTGCCTTTGAAAGAACAAATATATACGGAATTTTATATAAAAAAAAATTGCATTAGAGCTCCTAGTGAAAATGTTAGTTCATCCAAGGAAGTACTGTTAACTTACCTATTTCTGCCGCCAAGCAAACGTGTTCTTAATACTGTGTTCCGGTTTTGAAGGGTAAGGGTGCTGGTGAAATTACAGGCACATGGGACTTGCCAATTTATGTCTCAGGATGACGGGCGCAGTGGCAGTGCCCCTCAGATCTTTACAATTTAAAGCTCTGAGTGGCACTGTAATTATCATGGACAGGCGTGTAGCTTACCATCAGGCGCACGACTTATTCGTTCCGTCACTTGTTGTTATAAAAAAAGCCCGAATTCGAAACCAGTTTAAGTTGAGCTTGCTATAATGGACCTAAATTGAATAATTACATATTTAATTACCGACGAAATGTGATATCGCGTCATAGACACGTATCAGTACTTTCCGGTGTGGAAACTTAATTCACCTGGATTAATTCAAATTTTAAACTGCCTCTGTGGCCGAACGGATACTATGCCGACTGCCACGTAGAGGTCCCGGGTTCGATTCCCGTGCCGGGAGGAATATTTGTATGGCTTACATTTATTTCTCTAGTGAGTCTGGGGTTACTTTTTTGTTCTCTGGTTTGGGTGTAATTTGTGGTTGTCTATGTGTCTGTCCATGACACCCGAGATACAGGGTTTAACTAGTGCGGGGCTATGAGTGTGTGCGCGTTATTATTATTATTAATTCACCTAGATGAGTAATACATTCGTCAGTTAAGGGTACTCTAGGCCTGGCCTTTTTTAGGACGTCCTCAATTTGTATTAAAAAACACAAACAAAGTAACCTATCTCATACAACATACCAAAAAATAAAACTATGCAATTGCATACAAGTACCTTATACAATTAATCCTGTATCACTTAAGTCCAACTCAAGTGCATGACCGAGAGTAGCATGTTAGTTAAGTCAACAATCTTTGTTAATAAAATCACTTGAATGCCCATCGACGGTTACTTATTCATTTGATTATTATGATTACGTATTTTATGAGAGTTCTGTAATCAAATGTTATTAAAATTACCGATTCTTAACCCTTACCTTAACCAACGGACAGTACTTAAATAGTAGCGCACACAAAAATGTCGGTACATTTCTTGCAGTAGAGCTTATCGCACTTGACAACTAACATAATATTATCTTAAAAATTGATTTATATTATATTTTATCTCAAAATTGCGTCATATTAATCATTTATCTCCAAAATTTCGCTATATTTATACCTATGTCATTCGTATACGATTTAATTTTAAAGTGACAGGACAATAAAGCACAAAGCACTGTCGATTTGAAAATAAATAGGTAATAAAATTTTAATTTCATTGATATTCAATTATTTTTATGTGAAATTACTCTACCAGTTTGTTATAATTATTAATACAAAAATCGAACACTCAGAAAAAATTCCTTCGATCCGGCCGGATTCGAATCGACGCCTTCTTGCATACCGTCCCAGACGCTATACCAACTAAGCCACGGAACGAACCAGCGGTACTCACGAATTTTTCTATATGCTTGTGACGTATCTTTGTATTTGGTTTTACAACGACTTTTTAGCCGTATCGCCATCTACGATATTTCAAACAAACTGAGTCTATCAAATGACGTCATTATAGGTCGACTCAATATTAAATATTTCTAAATCATGCATAGTTTCAGTCGCTGAAAAACCATATGCAAAACAAAGTTGTGGAAACGCTAAGTAAGTAAGTAAATGTATAAGTCTTGAAAATAAATATTAAAGTTTACAATTCCATTCAACCACTCTATAATATATATTACAGGATTATTATTTAGGATAGTACATTCATTCTCTTTGAAATATAGCATTATATTTTGATATAACTGTATGTTACATATTGCTCATACATTATCATTGTAAACAATACAATGACAAGTGGGTATGATGATGTAATTGAGAGCTAATCTAATGCAATATACATTATATATTGTAAGTACAAGAAGTCCATAATGCAATGTGTTAGATAATAATGTAAACAGACATTTTGTTGCTTAGTAAACAACATTGCTCAAGTAATATTGACTCATTTTAAAGCAACATAAAAAATATAATTATGGTGGATACCTGGTGACCTATAGTACAGGTCCAACCTAGTTTAGGCACCAGTCGTCCACCTAGAAATTTAACTGTACTTAATGTTTCTTAGTTTAATTACCCTGTGAAATGAATTGTTAAGGTGGAAAAGAACAACAGACAATTTACATTTTTTAATTTTGAAATGTTTCTTGAGATTGACATTGCAAAATGGGGTACTCATAGTATCATATTACGATGTTTAATTTTAGGGTAAACATTACACAGTCAAATGGGTTTGCGGGTAATGGATGGGTTAATGAGAAAAATATTGTTACTGCTCTCGTAAATAAAACATTGAATTACTAAAAGTAAAGAAGTATAGATACAACTCACCAAGGACTGGTAAATACTCATGAAGGAGGGTTGGGTCGGCTGCAAGTGCACTCTCCATCTTGCGGACCACGGGCAGTACCCATGGCTTTCCATTTTCATCTCTGTATGCTGCACATTCAATTAAATATATGAATTTTTACATCACATCATACAGGAAACTATTGTACCTTATGTATAGGAAATAATTCTTGGAAAGGATTTTTTTATATATATCAAAAACAAAAAGTAAAAAATTAGGAAAAAACAAAATAACGCGCGCAATTTATTTCGATTGTGAAAAGCTAGCCACATACTTCGGCTAACCGTCCAATGGTAAAATTACATAAGCACGTAATTCAACAAAAAAAGTTATACTAAATTAAGTAAGATAAAAATACAAAAAACTTCGCGATACTTACCGCCGACGCTTAAATTAACTTTCTTTTGAAATGAATCTTCCGTAAACAATTTTGTGAGTTGAAAAACCTCAATCGGAGAGCCTTGCTCTACAACATCGAAACGTGAAGGCATTTTTATTAACTAGCCAAGCTCGCGGTAGAACGACCAAACACGAAGTATAAAGTAAGTAAAATAAATTCAGTACGTTAGTAAAAATCAATTTAATAAATTACGGCAATCGGCGCAGATATTGTAGCGCAGATATTCCTACTATATCTTTCTAATTTGTGACGGCAACTGGCAAAGTTGACCTTCGCCAATGATAGACACGTCAAAATCGTCAAATTGACTTTTTGCTTTTTTTTATCTAGCGTTTCGCGATGTGCATTTAAGCCACTAACTCGGGAAACTATTATTCACAGAAAATAATGGAAAAGAAAAATAAATTGGCTGAAAGAATCAGAGAAGTGGGACCATTACAGATGATAATTTAGTCAGTTCGCATCATCATCTTATTTCAGAGCCAGACTCATGTCGATGTAGCATCCTCCACTCCTCAATGTTTCAGTCAGTACTGCCACTACAAAATTATCAGAGTATTCACGCTGACGAATAGTCTTTTAGTGTTTCGTATTTAAATAGTTATACAAAAGGAACAGTAAGGAAGTTTACACACCAAGCCACAGGGCTCCAAGCCATTCGGGCCAGTAACTTTTTTTCTATCTAAAAAACTTAAATAAATAAATTTAAAAAAAAAACTAGTATATACCTTAAAACATATTAAGAGGATGGAGATAAAAATAGTAAGACTAGCACTCACTAGTCTATATCAGGCTTTCCATAGTCTACGATATCAAGCGTATTCGTATCATCCCAACGATAATCTATGTATGTTCTCTTTGCTTTATTCAGATGTCACACTCATTTCGTCACTGCTATATCACTTAGCCGATTTATACTGTGAGCACAGATTACAATAGTTACCTGTGGGGCTCATGCACAGCTGCATGAAGAGTACCTACATAGATATCGTTCTTTAGCAGTAATTGTTAGCACTTAGCAGTGTTTCCGTAGATCAGATTATAAAGAAAGTTGTTGTTGAAATTTATACATTATGATATAACGTGTTAACTTTATCGAGCAAAATATGCGACGCTTCGGCACGCATTTCTTCGTGACGATGGGTGCGAGCGACTTAAAGCGGGAAATATCGAGAATCGCTTTACGTCGACCTCGCGCAAGTCGCTGTCGTGCTAAGCCAACTGGTACTCATAGTTCAGGGAATTCCCTAGTTTGAGACCAGGCAATTGGTGTGTCCACAATAAGTTCGGCCCCAGCATTACACCCGACACACAGTGGGCCCAAATTGATAATTGGACATAGGAATAACTTGTGGAATATCGAGCAAATTTTTTTTTATATGATAGGTAATAACATTCTTAATAACTTTTATTTTTGTATAATATCTTGAAAAGTTGATAATTTCGTAGAAAAAAATATTTTTTTTGTATGGAGAAATATACATTTAGTTTTTTATCTCAAAAAATGCGAAATTGTAATGTGTGTTGGTTACTTACAGTATAGTGCCAATCATTTTCTATGTAGAAAAAAATAATCCGTCTGCATGTACTTGCGGCTTTGTAAGTAAAGGTGCGGCAAAACTCTTTTATGTACTTTTTTAACAAAATACGTGAGTTTCAAAAGAAAAATTAATTTTAGTGTAATTTAGAGAGTGTTATAACAATAACAAGAAAGTAAAGTAAAGTAAATAAATAGCAAATCTTAAATTTTGCCACCTTTTTACTCGTAAAGCCGTAAGTACTTGCAGATGGATTATTTTTTTCTTGATAGTATTTTCTTGATGTATATTTCTCCAAAAAAAAAAAAATATTTTTTTTTGTTCGAAACTATCAACTTTTGAAGAAATTATACAAGAATGAAAGTTGTTAGGAAATGTTATTATCTATCATATAAAAATTAGCTCGATACTCCACAAGTTATTCCTATGTCCAAGAATTATCAATTTGGGCCCACTGTGCGACGTGTTGTCTCACACACAACACGCAATCGTTTTGGAGATACCCCCTCAAACAATCGCTATATTTATAATAGATATTTCAGAAAATATTATTGTCCTTTCAAATAAGCACGCAAAAGTTTTAAGGACAGATAAATTATTACCATCGTTTGAACAAATTACAAAGCTTTTACCATTGGTCGAGCTAGCACAGTTAATAACATATGAACAATGAGCGAGTTCTTTTGTGGTTCGTGTCCTTCCTTGTTGGAACCAACGCACACCCCGGACACTCCATACAACGTGGCAACAGTCGAAAGTTATTTACCTACTACTATTTCAGACAGCAAGGCGCTACCTGGGGGCCAATCGCGCTATTTTCGCAAGGTTTAACCGTACAACATTTGAGGTTATGGTTTTGGTTAATTAATGGTTCTACCGACGCACAAAATGCAATCGCGCTATCAGTTTTAATGAACCTAAACCTCAGTTAAACCTCAAACTATAACCTCGTATTAAATTTTAAGAGTCGTGCCTTGACTTCCTAAAACCGACTAAATTTTACCGTAAAACGCACTGAAATGTCAATATCTACGAATTCAAGTCTATAAAAGAGCGATTTAAAAAAGTGTGTAAAAGAAATGTCATTAAATTCTATTGTAAACAAACACATGTGTTGTGATTTGAACCAAATTAATTGAATTTAGTGTGTTGTTGTTGTAGATAAAACACGCAGAGGCAAGTACCTACACATTGTTTTCCTTTTTTAATATTCTATTTAATAAAATAGTATCTTTTTATACAATCAAATAGGTACGCTAACTACTATTAATTTCGAAATGTTAGCAATGTAGAATTAATAATGATGCTCGTATTTCAGCCAGTGTGGATGCGGTCGGACGGCGAGCGACCACTGTAAGCCAGCTCCATCTTTGCTGGAGTTCGAATCGCACAGAGATTTGGCTTGAGAATGACTTCGCTCGGCGTTGTTCGCGCGTGTTATCAGCACGCCTATGGTGCGAGTGTGTGGCTATTTTGTGGCCCCGCAATAGATCCCAAAAGGTGAGCTATAATGCGAGGTAATAGGATACAGTGAGTGGATCACTCACCGTTATTGTACCAGAACTCATATCACTATAATATGCGATGTTATTATTGTTATTCAGGTATGGAATGGTATGAAAAGCAGGGTGAGAATCTACGCCACATCGACTGCGGCAGAGGCCCTACCAACCTTCCTAAAGGACACCAACTCTAGCACAAAATAACTTCAAACATACAATTCAATAACAAAGTAACTTTCTCACTCTTTATTATTAATTAAAAAACAAAGTAACTTTCAATTCGAGCAAATTCTTTCCCACTCTTTATTCCATCACATCTATTATTTCGTTGACAGCGAGCTGATGAGCGTTGGAGCAGAGCCGGGTAGAATTCTTATGCATTGAGGAGCAGCGAGCATGCGAAGCATTCTTGCAGCAAGTGAATGCTGGCAGGGTGCAGGCTGAGGCAGCTATTATTTCTGCCAAAGCAGATGATCTGCATGCCCAATCCGTAGCTGCCATTTGCAAAGCAATTACCGAGTTGGTGCCTGCAGTTAACCTTTTTGATAGACTATTTAACAAGAATGACAGGTTTGTTTTCAACATGTTTTCTTAATTCCTGCTGATGATATGTTCAATTGTGGAAATCTGAAAGAGCGTAAGGAACGAAGGTCTAATCTGTAGACTTTTGTCCCCTTTATATTTCCACAGTGATATAAACATTTTGTTAAATGTATTTTGAAAAGGCCCCTAAACATTCTGGCGTTTATGTTGGCTTCATACTGTATGTATATAAATACCCATCCTGCTTTATCTGTCACTACTCTCATTAGAGGTATGGCACAGTCTTAAATTTAGGTCTTCAATCTTCCTATATACATATTTTTGTTTCAGACTTCTTTGAAGAATCAAAAGCAAGCTCGCTCCGGAAATGAAGGATGATTTGGGGTAGATTGAGGCAATAAATAAACTAAAAATACACTCTTTTTTTTATTTCAACCTCTTAAAAGTATACATCAATTTAGATATTAAGATAATAAACAATTACAATAGGTATACATCGTCATCTTAGAATGAATACCTCATATTTCTATGTAATTTTTTAGGATGAAGATAAAAATATGGTGTGAAGTATAGTAAATGCAATAATGTGTGTAGTTAGCATTTTAATTACTTAAATTATACCTCTTTTAGATACTATATTATTACATTATTAATTTTTATTCAACAAAAATCAGTAAAAACAAACTGAAAATGCATATGTGAGGCTTCACTGTAAGGGGACGATATGTTGTATAAAGTCAAGTGTTAAAAGAGATAAATTGTAACCTTGTAATATATTTTTATACAACTATACATATTTTACCTATACCTGTAATTTTAATTTGATAATAACAACAGGAAATAAGACAAGAACTAATAAATATGATGTACATTGTAAAGCTTATTTTCTCACCGCCTTTTAATACCATCTCTTTCGGCATGCCTTTTAGGAAAGCTGCATATTTATTCATAATAACTGGTTTATTTGAAGCAGCTACCGCTTGTGCCTCTCTGACACTGACTTGGGAAAGGGTGATAAGCACTTGCCAATGGGGGTCTGGTACGCCCCAGTTGTTAAAAACTATACGAGCTATTAAAATCTGTAACAAAATTAATAATGATTTACACAGTATAGAAATTTTGGTTATTATGCAAAACTGAGAACTTTCGGATTCCACTCAACCCTTACCTTTGTCTCCACATCCAATGCAACAGACCGTCCTTTAACGAGAATATGTAGGCATAGTTCTTCCACCAATCCTGAAATGAATTCCGTGGACAAACGGTATATCGTTTGCGGAATTTCTCCTCAGACATGTTAAATGTGATCGTCTTTCTATGCTTTTCTTTTATTTAAAGCCCTTTCTTAGGCCACATCCACCTCATAAACACTTTCCAAAACATTTAAGTAACCGTGGAACATCTTTTATATACGATAAACGTAGTGAAAAGTTACTCTCCATTAACTGCCACACAAACCTTGACCTTGCAAAGGTTAATCTATTCCCCCAAGGTTACATGTGAGGTTAAAATGTCAAAATATTTAGCGCGATACCAATTTGCAACATTTTAGGTTTTGGTTTTACGTTTGACAATTAGCGCGATACCAAATGTGCGTTACGTGTCACACGTCTAAGTTTTGGCTTAGGTTTTTGTTTTGACAGTTAGCGCGATACGAAATGTACACAACGTGTCAGATTGGCGAGGTTGGAGGTTTTGGTTAAACCTTTGACAATTAGCGCGATTGGCCCCCTGCACACGCCGAAATGTGTGCGTGAAATGGCAGGTTTACCCATTACTTTTTCTTACTATAACGTACTACGTGGTCAGAGCGGCAACATAGCGAATTCTTACGCGAATATGTCACCTATAATCATAAAGTCAATGCCTATAATTGTATTAATAGTATCCTAATAATTGCACGTCATGTTCATTAGATATTTGTATCGATATAATATTACATTTTTCATTAACTAGAATAATATTGAAGATTTATTTAAAAAACATAAGTATTAAATCACTTAAAATGTTATATTTTGCAAATAAGGTAACCAAGGTATTTGAAATTGCGTGTCCAAGGTTGCCTGGTTAATAATTAGGCATATTCACTACATAATACTTATCGGCATACAAATGGAAAATTCAAGAACCCTTACAGGCGGCAGAGAGATGATCTTTTGCGAAGATATTGACCTAATTTGGGATACCAATGTGAATTTACAGATATTTTCTGACGCTACCTAGACTGACTATAAGTAGCTATATAAGCTTCATATTTGGTTATGGTTACGCAGTGACATTCTATACTTGTATTTTCAAATGCTTTTCTTCAAAACATAATGTTCCGTGTAGGAACATCCTATCCGTACTTAATTAAGCAAGTTTACCTTTAAAGATATAACACGTATAAGGTTGATATTTGAACGAATATTTAATCATATAAATTTCATATTATAATTATAATCTCCTATTTCCGTAAAGCTACTTCAAAGCTTGAACTTTATTAATTAATGAATAGTATACCAATTAAATAAGTATACGTTCTTTGTTGCTTGATGTTTCTAGTCTTGCCACATGGACAAAATCAATCAATCAAGGCAGAAAAGATTTCTGCAGATATGCGTCAAATTTTATTGTTATTCTGTCTTTGCACTCCCTTTGACCTGAGGCCAACGGTCAGTCGGCGTGTTAAACGCGGTTTCAACAGGATCCTTTATTAATTTTGCTCGTGGGTCATCTGGCCGAACAATGACATAGATATTCTTGTAAGTCCTTCGATCACCATCATTTTTACTGTAATTATACATTCCAATACTTGCTAGACCGATTCCTATTAGTGCAAAACCTGTAGCACCCACAACTTCAGGAATTTCCCAACAAGCTTTCTGGAAAAGTCCAGCCCATGTTTTAGGAAATTTAATAACATGTCCGATTTGTTTTGGAATCATTTTTGAATGTAACCAATATTTTCTTTTTGTCTTTATTTATTGGCTCCTTAGCAACGTTAACGTGATTTTTCCTAATATATATATCTTTCGAATTTGTGAGTTAGATCAATTATTGTTCCGATTTGAAATGTCAAAAATTTCCGATCGGCCAGTTGTGAATCGCAATTATGCGCCTCGACTCAAAAGAGACGCAGTTTCCGACCGGGAGAGGAAATCAAAATCAAGCTGCCGGTTGGTGTATTGTTTTACGTGACTATGGTTTTCGGCTGGCATGTATTGCGTACTGCGCTGTTGTGTGGGAATCTTAGAGGATGAAAAAAAAAAAAGAAGTGGAAATTCCTTACATGGAAAAAAATAAATTTTAAATTTTAAATTTCCATAGTCTAAGGGAAATTCACTTGTTGTACCATAACAATGATATACACTAGGTGGAAGAAAATTGGTTTCCATAGTCTAAGAATACACACTTGTGCTACGAGTCTTCTGTTCTCTGACAACAGCGTCCTGATTTTGATTCAAATTGGAATCGATCAGATCGGGTCATAGATATACTAAATCTATGGATCGGGTAGTCTCGAAATCAGATGAGTTTCTGAGCGAGAAGATGTGTAGCAGGAAAAAATAGTAACAAATAAAAAATTCATGTTTTCAAGCAATTGACGTGTTTTATTGTACAGTTTGTCATCTTAGTTTTTCATCATTTTCATTTCCATAACAATACAAAACCATATCAAAGGGATTCATTAGCAATCTTCTTTCAATATACTCCTTTTTGTGTACATGAATTTAAAAAAAATCACAAACAAACTAAACCTACTCGGTCCATAATGGAAGCTATTGAAGGAAGTCTACTAGAGGCTTCGTTAGGAAATCTACATTTTGTAGGTTCCCAACATGCTTTACTTGGAGTTTTCCATCTGCAACCAGTTCTCTGACATAGAAATGTCTTATTGCTATGTGCTTTGTTCTTCTATGTAGTTCAGGATTTTGAGCTAGTTTTACTGCGGCATCATTATCAACTTTTAAAATTGGAATTTGCTTTAGAACAGAAATATCCTTAAATAGCTTTTTCAGCCACACGATTTCGCGTGCTGTTTCGCTAGCTGCGACAATTTCAGCCTCAGTCGTAGATATAGCTACTGAAGTCTGCTTTCGACTCGCCCAAGCTATTGCTCCGCCAGCATATAGATACAGTATGCCACTTGTTGAACGACCATCTTTGAGATGTCCTCCGTGATTAGAATCGCTGTAGCAGCCCAGTATTCCCATCTCAAATTTTTTTTGTATGTTATACCATAACTTGATGTACCTTGTAGATAACGCATTATACGTTTTACCTTCTCTTCGTTCTCGATACAACACTAACGGCGTAGGCAATATCTGGTCGCGTTCCAATAATGACATAAGCAAGGACACCAACAGCCTGTCTATAAGGATATGGTTTCTCGTCTACAATCTCTTTAACTGACTGCCCTTGTTCAGAATCTCTAATCACTGGTGTAGTGACTGATTTACAGCTATTCATACCGAAACAAGCTAAAACTTTCTCGGTGTAGTGCTTCTGCGTAACGCTTATAGGGCCATCATCTTTATGTCTCAGTTGCAACCCCAGATAGTAGTCTGCAGGCTTTGTAGTTATTTTAAACCTTCGCTTTAGCTCTGATATAAACTTATCTGCATCCGTTTGATGTGTTGCAACTACCAGACCATCGTCAACATATAATACTAAGATGATTTTATTCTGTACTCTTTTTCTGATGAACATGCAAGGATCTGTTTGACTTTGTTGAAATCCAATTGATTTCAAATAATCTACAATGCATTTATTCCAGCATCTTGGTGATTGCTTTAATCCATATAGGCTGCGCTTCAACTTGCATACTCAATTTGTCCTGTCGTTAAAACCTTCGGGTTGTTTCATAAAAATCTTTTCCTGTAGATAACAATTTAGAAACGCGGTTGAGACATCGAATTGCGTGAGTGTCAGACCTTCGTTTGCTGCAACACTTATGACAGATCTGATCGTCGTCATTTTAGCGACAGGACTGAACGTCTCATCGTAATCCACACCTTGTCTTTGTGAAAAAGCTCGAGCAACAAGCCTTGTTTTGTATTTATCTATCGTTCCATCAGCGTTAGTTTTAACTTTCAAGATCCATTTGCAGGATATAGCTTTACGACCCTTTGGTAAGTCAACTAGAGTCTACGTTTTATTATCTTCTAAAGACTTTATTTCACTTTCATTGCTTTTAACCAATGCTCCTTGCTTTTACTCTGTAACGACTCGTTGTATGTTGTAGGTTCATTCATTTCAGACCTATCATCTACAGACAACATAACGTAGTCACCAAGTCTAGCAGGTGGTCGTAGCGATGATCTGTCTCGAAGAGTTCTCCTTCCTTCATTTTCTATTTCGCTATCTGGCATAATGTCATCCATTAGTTCTACTCGCTCTGGTAATGTCCGGTTGTTCTTCACCTCATCAATTTCATCACGCTCATATTGATTTTTCGAAGATGACTCTCCATTAAATGTACTCATATCTGCATGAGGTGTATCTTGGAACGATTCAGGAGGCATACACTTTTCGAAAGTTTCTGGACTTTCTTTTTCTTCCTCCCTTACATCTTGAATCGTTTGGCTCTTCTCTTCCCTTACAATTGGATTCGCCGGTATTCGTAGACTTATTTCAATTTTAGAATAATTTTCATCAGATTTTTCCGAATCAGTATTTTGTTTTGTATTCGTCTTACCGATTTCTGACTCTAAAAATACAACGTCTCTTGAACGTACTAGTGAAAGAAGGGCCTTCTTTGCTAATTTTTAGAAGACGATACCCATCACCATCATAGCCAATTAAAATACATTTTTCCGCTTTCTTATCCAATTTCCTACGTTTCTGCTTGGGTACGTGTGCGCAGCATGAACTTCCGATTATTCTTAAATGACTTATCTTTGGTTTCTTATTGTACCATAATTCATATGGTGATTTACCATCTACAGGAGTGCATCCTGTTCTATTAAAGTATATATGCTGCTGTACTTATGAGCTCTGCCCAACATGCGGTCGGCAGCTCTTCGTGCGCGTACATTATGGCACGAGCGGCTTCAACGAGCATTCTATTCTCTCTTTCACTGCAGCCATTTTGTTGTGGCGTATATGGCATGACCAATCTTAGCTTTTTTCTGACATCAGTTGAAGCTTTGAATAGACCTCAGACTACTGTTTCATGAAGTATATATAGCGGTACTTACTATAATCGTCTTTAAATAGAACGAAGTAACGATATCCTTTGTATGAGAATGGGAATGGGCCACATACATCTGAGTGCATAACTTCTCCAGGTACATCTGATCTAACTCGTGTTGTGTGTGAAAGGTTGTCTGTGCTTCTTCCCGAAGCTACAACCTTCACAAAACTCCTTAGTGTTATTCGGTACCTTTATTCAGAGTTCCCTTTCAATAACCTTCTTTACATGATATTTGCTTTGGTGTGCCAATCTATTATGATATAGCTGTAACAAACCTTGGCTTGTCAGCACATTGACTTCGACGAGTACTGGTGGCATTACATTCTTTACATTGAGTTTGAATAAGCCTCCCCTCTTTTTTCGTTCACCTGTAACTTTGACTGTGCCGTTCGCTTTCAATTTACAGAACTCTGGTTTAGACTCGAAGATGCTTTTTGGAAATCTGTCCTGTGCTGATAATAATGAGAACAGATTTTTCTGTAGGGAGGGTACACACCTTACATCGCATAATGTTATTTATGATTCCTTTATGATCTCTGACTTTAGCTTCCAGTTTTATGTTACCTTTACCAGTGGCATCTACTTTCTCACCGTTTGCTGTCGTTACCGTATGCGTTTTGTCAAATTTCTCAAACGTATGAAACAAATCTCCCCTAAACGTAACGTGACTAGTAGCTCCACTATCCAGATACCAAATATCTCTGTCAGGACATAAGCACGTGTCAGCAATCATTAGATCAATGTTTGCATTCGAACTTATTTCTGGGGAAGAGCTCGGTGACAGTAAGCCAAGCGTATTTCTTAGACACTTGCGCTCCCTGCCTGGCAACTTAACTAACGAGACCATTTTAAGAGAACTATTTCTCCAGAGACTCTTATTGATTTTATTTTATTCCAAGGAAAATGTCATATTTTTATTTTCTGATTGTTGTAAAGAATTCTTAAAGAAAAACCTTCTGATTTACACTAATAATGGAGTCTTATTTATCGGCGTTAACAAGATGGACGAGGGTCGCCAAGGAGAGAGTCACACTTGCCGTAATTGTTTGACAGTTTTTAGTTACGTAAATGGTCATGTCAGCGATTGCAAATTGTTTGCCCGATTTGATACAAAGCTTTTTGTAAAAACCACGAAACTTTATAATTATATCGCCATTCACGAAGTTCACGAGGCCGTTGTATTGTTCGTTAGGGGAGCAATAAATTCCCCAAACTTGTAAGAATTATTAAAATCATGCTATCTAATTCTAGAAAATCCTTATTAGCAATGTCACCAACTTTTTCTGACGTTGATGCCTCTTCACAGATTGGTTTTGTAATTGGTGTACCATATCTACCTTCTAAAATGTCTAAGGCTTTTGGAACACCCTTCAATAATATACATATTTTGTACTTCCATACCGACCAGTTCGTGCCATTTGCTTTTATAGATTTTTAACTTTCCATACGCTCTGCTACCATGTAGCAGGAAAAATTAGTAACAAATAAACAATTCATGTTTTCTAGCAACTAACGTGTTTTATTGTATACTTTGACATCTTAGTTTTTCATGTATCCATAACAACACAAAGCCATGTGTCATAATATTAACTCTTTAGTTTCTAATGTCTATTTTGAACTTTACATTTGATAGTCTTTTAGTTCATTGTTGTCAAATATTTTTGTGGAATAAAACCGTTATTCTAAAGGTTTTATCTTATTTATCAATTTATTCCACAAAATGTTATCAGAATAAATAAAATGGAACGG